TTAGAAAATACCTTGCAGATATTTTCTGAAGCCTTGATGGGAGGATAACCAGCTCCAACTCTATGGTCTCCTGAGTGGTTTGATATTTTGCCAACACCACTACTAAGCTATTGCTTGCCTATTTAAAGCTCTGGCTCTGATCCTCTATTTTTTAGTTCTGGAGTTTAGTTGGTTGTTGCCTAGCCAAGCAAAGAACAGACTGGGCTTCTTTGTAGTCCCTGGAGGAGCTGAGGTTGTCTTAGAAATAAAAAGATGGGTTTTGGTTCTCTGGACTAAGATGAGAGTGTACTAGTTGTCTACTGCAGTGTAACAAATGACCCCCAAACTTAGCAAACACCGCACATCTTTTATCTCAGGGCTTCTGCATGTTAGGAGTCTGGGTGAGGCCTAAGTCACTCATGAAATTGCAGTCAAGTTATTGACTGGGCTGTGGTCTTATCTGAAGTCTCCATCAGGGTGAGGGCGTCACTCCGAAGCTCATTCATGCATAGTTGACAGGCTTTGGTCCCCCATCATGTGGACCCCTCCATGGGGCTGCCTCATGATGTGACAGCTGGCTTCCTCTAGGATGAGTGATGTCGAGAGAGTGAGGGGGAGCAGCCAAGACAGAAGCCATGGCCTTGTAAAACCCTGATCTCCAGGGTGACCTTCTTCACTTCTGTATTATATTTACTAGAAACAAGTCAACATGTCTACACACAGGTGAGGGGACCACAGAAAGATGTAAATACAGTACATGGGGACTGTAGGAGGCATCTTAGAAGCTGTCTAGCACAGTGTTGTGTATGGGGAATGGGAGGGAGAAAAAAATTGCCCAGCCAAGCAGCAGTCCATATGGGGAGGGGCAGGAGCTTCTGCGATGTGCTTTTTTATTTTTTAAAATATTTTTATTGATTTCAGGGAGGAAGGAAGAGGGAGAGAGAGATAGAAACTTCAATGATGAGAGAATCATTGATCAGCTGCCTCCTACACGCCCCACACTGGGGATCCAGCTCTCAACCTGGGCATGTGCCCTGAGCAGGAATCTAACATGACCTCCTAGTTCATATGGTTGATGCTCAACCACTGAGCCATGCCATCCGGGCTGCAGTGTACTCTTGTTCTTCATTGCTCACTCACACCTCTAATCTGGTTAGGAATTAGGGCAGCCCCAGTCGAAACTGATTTCCCCATTGCCTGCAGACTCCCTTTCTGTAGCCCTGAGCCTCTCTTTCCTTCCTCTGCAAAACATGCTGCCCAGAGCAGCTCTGCTAATTTAGTTCCCATTGAACCATAAATGTTTTGCTTAGGGTAAATGAGGAAGGAGCATGCCTATGAAGAGGAACTGACTGTTCCTTAAACAAATAAAGCTCTGGTTACGGGATTTCAGACTCCCAACAGAAGAGTGTGGAAGGTACTCCTCTGGAACTGGGCAGGTGTAAGAGGAGGGCTTTCCATTTGTGGCCCAAATCCTTTGGGCATGAGAGGTAGCATAATATTGGGGCTGGGGACATGGGCTGGGGATGCAGGCAGCCTGGCTGGAGTTCCAGTTTACCACTCGTTAGCTGGCTGACTTTTGGCAAACTGCTTAATCCTTTGCAGCCTCAGTTTCCTCACCTGTAAAACAGGGATGATAACAGCAGCTTCATCCCATGGAAAATGTTGTGACGTGACACACAGCCAGCACTCAGTAAATGTTAACTATTTTCATCTTCACAGCCACAGCCATAGCCGCTTCATCAAGCAGGTTCAGGTTGGTGCCCACAGGGGCCCAGAATGGGGAGGGGTGGTGTGAAGTGGGGTGTGGCTGGGGCAGGTGGGACAGGAGGGTAAGACAGAGCCAGAACCTACCTTGGGCTGGCGGTGTGGGCAGCCTGTGGACCTGCCTGGTCTTGAGGGGAGGTGTGGGGCCTTGGTACATTTGTTATGTATTTGGTTTGGGATAATTTCTCATGCATTCTGACATAGCCCCATCATTCAACCTTGGGTTGCCTGTTCAAGCCGCCTGTTTTGAAAGCCTCCGGGAAGGAAGGTAAACTTCCCTTCCGACTAACAGAGAAAACGATGAGTAAGCCAGGGCCCACACCTGTCCAGTGGGAGCATGCATTTCTAGGTACCCTGGAAACCTCCTGTGGCCTTGCCTCAGGCCCTGTTAGGGTTTCCGGACTCACACCTCCGTCAGGTCAGGCCAGCACATCATCGTTCATAGTCAAGGCTTCCCTCCACTCCATCTCTACATCCCGACCCAGCTGCCCACGTGGGCCCAGGATCGGGATGACATCGACTCTGACCTCATGAAGTCAGGCTCGTGAAAGGCTGCAGGAGCCAGCCTGGGGGAGGGGGAGCAGTACTGGGTGGTGTCAAGTGCTCTGTGCTCTGGAGCCAGACAGATGCCCATGTGCGAATCCCCGTTTGACTCCTTCAGGGCTTTGGGCAAGTTTTTCTCTGTGTTAGTTTCTGCATCTAGTGACCAACCAGCTCAGGGGAGCAGTAACTGAGGCGATACCCACAGAATTCTTAGAAATGCACCTTGTACATTTGGTTGAGTTTATGTGATGGTGACTTAGAGGCAGGCTTTGGTGAATTTTTCCATTGGCGGGGGGGAGTCTGAATTGCTTTGCTAGAGGTCTGTGGGCTGGTCCTTCTGTAGCTGCCTGGGTAAGGACGGACAAAAATGAGCTGAGCAGAGCAGAGCAGCCCCATGGAGGCTCCCGCACAACAAACAAAGGGTTTGCTCAGAAGAGGTACCGTGTCTCATCTGATGGGAGATGTTTTTTTCTTTTTTAGTGAGGGAGCATCTTCATTCATGTGGCAGATCTGCTTTAACTTCTGGCTGTTCTACTTTCTGTGTTATGTTAAGAATCATCTGCTTTTCATTCATTCACCAAACTTCTATTGCCCACCTTCTCTGGCTGGCGATGGGCCAGCTGTTTCCTGGGGGCTGCCTTTTGCTGATTGACTGACTGAATAGGAACATCTGTGGTGTCCTGCTCACCCCGGGCCGAGGATGGACCGAGGATGGACCCCATTGTTCTGGCTGCTGTTCCAGCTCCCAGGGCCGACTGCTCCCCAGCAGTTCACCCGTCCAGGTCCCTGGGTTTCCTGTGCTTGCAGCTCCATCCCTCAAGTGTGCTAAGGAGATAAGTTAAATAAAATATTTAGATTTCTGATTCCTGAGAAACTTTGGAACACAAAGCAGTGGGGGTCAGAGCAGGAAATCAGATCGGAGGATTAGATGCTAGCCCTGAACTTTGTGCTTTTGAATGTTTGCGCATTTTCTTGTTGACCCCTTTTTCCTGGCCATGGTCAGTCGAAGAGAATGGAAGTCCAATTACTTCTCAGATAAGAGTGCTCTTGAGAAAACAGAGGAAGGTTGGAGGGAAAATTCCCACCCATTTTATTGCAGCAAGGTCGAGGCATTTGACACAAAGGCCCAGGTCACAGTGTTTGCAGAAGATGGTGGCATTCCCGTGACATCAGTGGACGTGGAGTTCCAGCACGTTCACAATCCTTGGGAATGACCTGGCCCTTCCTATGTCCTGTTCTGCTCTGACTTCCATGAGCAGGGACCCTCGCTCCTGCCCTTCTTGGGGGACAATGCGGTGGGGAGGTGTGATCTGTTTATTTCTACTCCCAGCACGTCTGACACCATTTGTGTGTGATTCCCCTCCGCCCCCACCAACCAGTTCTCTGACTTTCTGGACACCAACGGGTGTCCTACAATTCAATTCAATTCTGACAGTAACAGACCATGCGGGTTAAGGGCCACAAGACTGCCCCCTACTTCAGATGCCAAGCACCAGCCCTGGGTCCTCAGGGTAGCTACTTCTGTCTGACTTGGCTCCAAGTTGGGAGTTCCCACAATATCCTCCCGAGTTCCGTATTTGCTAGAACGGCTCCCAGAACTCAGGCCGACACCGGACTTACTATTATAGGTTTGCTATAAAGGGCATTTTAAAGGACACATAGTGTGAGGTCTGGAAGGGTCCAGCACAGGACTTTCTGTCCTCGTGGAGTGGGGTGTGCCACCTTCCTGCCTGGATATGTTCACCAGCCTGGCAGCTCTCCAAACTCTGTTGTTTTGGGGTTTTGTGGAGATTTTATTAGGTAGGATGGCCAACTAAATCACTATTAAGTAAACCTCCCGTCCCTGAGGTTGGGGGTGATGCTGAAAGTCCCAGCCCCCTAATCATGCCTGATCTTTCTGTGACCAGGCCCACCCTGAGCCCCCCCCCGCCTCCCAAAGTGGCTCATTAGAACAAAAGACGCTCTTATACCCGGGATATTCCAGGATTTTAGAAACTATGTGTCAGGAACCAGGGACAAAGACCAAATACATCTTTCTGATCATCACAGAAGCTGATGCTGATGAGAATGGTCTGGATCCTCCCTACTTTCTCCTCATTTCTTCTGGGCTGAGTGTGCCCTCCTGACCCATGCCATGCTAGAAGGGGTCAGCTGCCCTGAGGACCAGGCAGAGGGGCACTCACCATAACCAGGGCTTCGCACCCGGACCCCTGCCTCCAACACATGCCAAAGGAAGGCCACACCTGGGTCCAAAGTGTGCCGTGTGGCCCCTGCCTATGCCTGCTGTGCCTTTCAGTGCAAACGTGGGCACAGGGCCGTGAAGCTTGCCTTTGACAGATGGGCAGCCAGAATCTCCCTGTGGCCTTTGGGGACCCCTGACTGTGACAGGGCCCAGCCCCTGCTCCTGGAGATGGGCTGGGTGGGACTGGCTATAGGACCCTGCCAGGGGAAAGTACATCAGTGCAATGGGGAGCAAGCCTCCGCTGTCTGGAGATCAGGGGTGTCCAGGTGGGGCATGGGGGCTCCCTACTTATGGAACAGCTGTGGTGTATGTCTATATGTTTCTATAGAGTAGAAAGCAAAGATGAGAGGTAATACCTCAAGGGAGGTGGGAAGGGACCCATATGCCTGCTTCAGCTTCAATGGGTCATTGTGGGTTCGGGGATGGGATTGCCCTAGGCTGGGTGGGCCATCGGGGATCACGGGAGACCCTGGTGGAGTGTCTGCATGGACACTTCCCAGGATGTGTGATCTCTGGTTCCAGGTGCACTAGGTCAGCAGCATGGGGCCAGGGGAGGATGGGTTAGCAGTTGGGTGGGGGTGAATTGAGGGCTCTGAGTTGTGGGGTGATGAAGGGGAATCCTTGTTCCCACCACAAACCTGTCAGCCTGGGCCAAGGAGATGACCTCCTGGCCCCCCATTGGCCTGACTGAAGTCCAGCATGAACTTGCCCATGAGAAGGCCTTAGAGCCGCCCTTCAGCTGAGGAGCAGGATGGGGTCCTGGCTTCGGCACTGCTGAGCTCCAAGAGGGCCCCCTCACCCTCTCATCAGCCCTCCAGGCTGGCCTTTCTGCCCACTTGCATGTGGAGACTCTCCCGGGTGGGCCAGGTCTGGAGCCCCCACGATGCCAGGGCGGCAAAGACCTCTCCTCCTCCTGACCTCCCTCTCGCCCTCCTGACCCCCTCCCCCTCCTGACCTCCCCCTCCTTACCTCCCCCCTCCTCCTGACCCTCCTCCTCCTGACCCCCCTCCTCTGTGCCCCTGCAGGAGAGTGTATCATCACAGGACAGTCCCACTTCAAGAGCTTTGATGACAGGTATTTCACCTTCAGTGGGGTCTGCCAGTACCTGCTGGCCCGGGACTGCCAGGACCACTCCTTCTCCATTGTCATAGAGACCGTGCAGGTGAGCTCAACAGGTGCCTGTCAGGAGGCAGACGGAGGAGTGATGGGGTGGGGCGAGTGGTCTCTCGTTACTGAGCTGCTGTGTACACGACCTGCTTCTTTTCTCTAGAGAACGGAGCCAAGGGGAGGACATATAGAATGTGTAGGGCTTCCCCTGAGGGTCTGAGTCCCGATTCGCTTTGGGACAATAGGCCCAAGGAATAAGAGGCCCGGGGTGCCTCATGTAAGACCAGACCCAGACAGGAAAGGGCACAAGAACCGTGGGAAGCTGGGCAGGGGGATAGGTTGGGCTCAGGACCTTCTTGCTGCACAACTCCAGGGGCACCATTCACAGCGATGGAGCTGTGACAGTGGGGTTGTCCTGTGAGAGAAAGCCAGAGGCTGTGTGGGGTTGGAGTCTTTCTCTGAGTCCAGGGGTCCTGGGCTGGGATGCTGGGCTGGTGGGGTGTGGTGACGTCACTCTGCATGCCCCTCATGGCAGTGCGCCGATGACCCTGATGCTGTCTGCACCCGCTCAGTCACTGCCCGCCTGCCCAGCCTGCACAACAGCCTGGTGAAGCTGAAGCATGGGGGAGGAATTGCCATAGATGGCCAGGATGTCCAGCTACCCCTCCTGCAAGGTGGGTCCCGCCTCCTGGCCCAGCTCCCAGAGCACCTGCCCCTCAGCCGTGCTCACTGCTTTCCCTTCTGTAGAAACGTGGGAGAGTGCTATCTCTGGAGGGCAGGCTGGGTATCCTTGGCATGCATCCCTGTAAGAATGGGCGGCTTCCTGGAGGAGGAGGACAAGTGGAGGAAGATGGCTGGATGCTGGAGACGAAGAGGCTGCTCCAGGCCTGGGAGAGAGTATAGAGGGAAAGCAGGACCCAGACGGTTCTCCACTTAGCTTGAGCCAAGGAGACAATTGAGGGTTGGGTTTCATGTTTCTGGTTCTACTTTGAGGTGGAAAAGGATCAAAGTCTGTCACCAAGAGGTTGGAGGAATGGCTGGTGATGAGTAAGACCCTTGGATGTCATGGGACAGAGCCAGGTGACCCTGTGACCCACGACAGGGAGAAATCTACCTGTCCAGTGCTTTGCCAGGCTGCGCTGTGCCATTTTGCCCAGCATGGTCTCAAACGTCACCCTCAAAGTGGCTCTCAGACCCCTCCCCTCATCTTTTTCTTCATGGCCATCGGCCCATTGTCCTGGCATTGCTCACAGCTGGTGAACTGGAGCCAGTGGGCACACAGCATGCCTGTGTGTCAGTTTAACGCTGTGTGTCTGCCCATGAGATGACATGTTCCTCCAGGGCGCACAGTATCGCTCAGCTGTGAGGACTGAGTCACTCAGTCTAGAAGGGTCGTGCAGCAGCAGACCGGCCCAAGGAATGCTTAGGCCTCAGGGGTTCGATGGAAGACAGATCCCTGGCTCAGGGCGCCTGTGCAAGCTATGGATGCACAAACCTTGGCCGCCACCTTGTGGCAATAGGGGGAATGGCAGGCTACAGCAAGAAGACAGAGGCACCTTCTTGGGGAATCCTATTTGCACTACACCCATCCTCCTGAGACCCCCTTAAGGTTCCGGGACACCTCCATCGTCCCCATAACGGATTGCTTTCATTGCTACAGTTCTTCGTGAGACAGCCCATCTCTCCCCATGCTGCCCTCTCCCCATCTCAGCCCAAATTCTGGCCCTGCTCGGTTTTAGGTGACCTCCGCATCCAGCACACCGTGTTGGCCTCTGTGCGCCTCAGCTACGGGGAAGACCTGCAGATGGACTGGGATGGCCGCGGGAGACTGCTGGTGAAGGTAGGCCCTCGGATCACTGCCTCCCCGCAGTCCAGCCTTACAAAGTGCCCCTTGTGCTGTGGGCAGAGTGGCTTTGTGTGTGGGAGAAGAATTCATTTCTCCGCAGGCCCTATGCCCCCAGAGGGAAGAACAGGCCTCTCTTGTTTACCAGAGGCTGGTGTTTGCTGTCTGGACGCTCCTTGTTTGTCCTAGGGGTTCTCACGCCTGGGGTTCTGGTACCCCCCAGGGCCTTCCGAGGAGGTGGGCTCCCAAGGGGCTGGGAAGGGCAGATTTGCTGCCCGGCCTCTTGGCTGCAACAAAACCTGGGAGCAGGGGTGTCCCTGGGGCAGCAAGGGAAGAGCCAGATTGGCACTCACAGCCAAGCCTGTGTTGTGCACCCATAGGGGACAAAGCCGTCCCACTGCCCAGGGAGGGGTGCACTGGGAATCACCAGATCCCGCACCCGGGCCCTGGGCCTGTGCAGTCCAGGGCCACTTCCCCTTGCTCTCTGTAGTGATGGGGTCACAGTTAGATAGCGATCTCTATATTTTTTTTTGGAATTGTCACTGCCATTTTATAAACAAAGCAACCAGGGCTCCTGGGGGTTGGGAGGCGTGTCCAGTGCTGCACACTGGCTGGCGGCAGAGCCCAGCAGCTCTCTGGGTGGCAACCTGCCCACTAGACCAGTCCTGCTCCCTTTTTGGTCTTCAGGTGCCTTTGTCCTTTAAAAAATGATTGAGCACCTCAAGAACTCTTATGAAGTTTATATCTACCGATATTTACCAGATTAGAAGTTAAACCAGAGACATTTAAAATATGTACTTAGGAATTCATTTAGAAATAACAATAATAAACCCACTACCCATTAATATAAATAACATTTTTCGGGGGTGAGGAAACTTTTTCCCAAAACAAAAAGCATTGAGAAGAATACCCTTGTTCTACAATTCTGCAGATTTCTTTAATGGCTGGCTTAATAGAAGACAGCTGGTCTCATAGCCACTTCTGTATTCAATCTTTGCGATATTACTTGTCATGTTGCCTCTGGGAAATACCACTTCACACTTATAAGAGCATGAGAGGGACAAAGCCAGACACTGTCTTTGTGTTACTATGAAAATATTTTGGCCTGCAGGGTCCCTGGAAAGGGCATCAGAGACCCTCCGAGACCACACTCTGAGAACCATTGCCCTATGTCATTCCTAGGATCCCTGCAGAGTCCCCTCTGTGTCCCCGAGTACCAGGTTCCACAGGGCTTGAGGGTATAATACTGTGACGGGCGTCTAGGGTGTCCCCGATGAGTTCCTGGCGTCCTCCATCCTGATGACGTCATGTTCTTTCTCTTGTTTTAAAGTCCCCAGGAGAGTTCCAAATTAACTTCCTTCCCCCCCCCCCCCTTTTGTAAAAAATAAACCCTATGACCACAGCCCATAGAGCACGAGGAGATCTTGTCAGCCCCTCATTTACAGTTGGAAATAAAGACCCATCATTTTTGGAGCAAGAAAGTGACTTGCCCAGTCCCATGGCTATTTGGTTACAGAGTGAGGACTGGGACTTGGGTTTCTAACGTCACCTCCTGCTTACTTGTCTTGAAAGGAGGTGTCTCAATAGCATGTCACTTTCTCAGGAACCTGCCCTCCCCACAGAGGGCGCTCTCCATCTGTGTGATTTCTCCCTGAGTCAGCAGGCCTATACGTCTTGTCCGGGTGGCTGTTCTCTTCGGGTTTCTCTGTTCTCTCTCTCTCCGGAGAAGACTCTTTCTGTGGGAATGGAATGCAGGGTTGTCTTTGGGGCTGGGTTTCAGTCCGTTTAGCTAACAGAAGGAGGACTCCACTGGTCAAGATTCAGGACAGGAGCAGATGACCCTGTGGCTGTGGGAACGCCCTCGGTGTTTTGGTCTGGAGGACAAAAGGGGGCATTTGTGGATGGACCAGGAGGCAGGCGCATCACCGTGCTGACTCCGGGGTTTGTGGGGGCTGCCCAGTGGAGGACTCTAGCTGAAGACAGGTCACGGGGAGGAGCAGGGTGAGCACACCTAACAGAGAGGAGGCCGGCCAGGTGCTGTGGGGGCTCCCTGCTCTCCTTTCAGCCTGTGAGGTATAGAGCCCCATCCCTGAGGGCCAGGTGGTCCAGGCAGCCGGGCTCTGCTGGTTGAGACCCAGGGCCCAACTCAGCCATAGCACCTCTGACAGTTATCAGAAGTGTCACTGATCCGAGGTTAATTTCAAATAGCAAGAGTATTCTGGAAGTCTCTGGTGTTGGGCTAATGTAGGGCTGGTGGCCAGCCCCTGCCTGATGTCCATGGATACACCCACTCTTCATCCCGGGGCAAGCTGACCCCTGCGACAGGCCAAGGGGATGGAAGAAGATATCATTTAAAGAGTGGGGCATGGGAGTGATGGCAGGCCTGGAGGGATGAACAGGAGGGCACTTCGGGAGTAGAAGGTCACTGAGGCCTGAGAATGAGGAGGAAAGAGAGGGTGCTGAGATGCAGGTGAGGAGGAAGAGTTGTCACCGATTTTGCTGCTTTGCTCAGGGCTGGCCCTGACTGCTGGCATTGCATTTCAGCCTCACTCATTCATTCATGAACTCATTCAGTCATTTGTTCAAGCATTCATTTCTTCAACACATACTTACTGCGTGTCCACGGGCACCACTGGCAAGGCTGAGGTTACAACAGTGAAACAAAACAGACAAGAATCCTTGCTTCATTTAGTGTAAATTCCAGTGGGGGAGACAGACAATAAACAAAACCAACAAGTAAATTAGATCATGTATTAGAAGGTGGTAAATCCTGGGGAGATCAATAAAGCAGAGGAGGGGGCAAGAAGTGCCAGGGCCAAGAGGAGTTACATTTTAAATAGGACGGTCAGGGGAGGGCTGGGTGCCTCGGGGGCCAACACTTGATCATTGTAAAGCAAACAAGGAACCATACTCCACCCTCTTTCGCATTAATGATATTTACTTGGATACACTTTTTATGGGTCCAGAACCTTCCGCTAGATAGTTCCTCCTCCATTTTGTTAAATCAGAGCTGGAAGCTGGAAGGGTGTCATCCAAGAGATGACCACACAGGGTCCAGGCCAAGCATGAGGGTTTCAGAACACAGGGACCCCGTTCAGCTGCATGGATTACATGCAGGGCAGCAGACTGGACTTGGGGCCCCACCCCTGTGCAATTTTTAAACCAGGCTCTCTCAATACACACCAGCGATGCCCCAGAGAGACGGGCTCGACTCCCAGCTTGTCCGAGTGTGCACTTTGAGTGTAGAAGCATGAGAAGGAGCCACATGCCAATGGCCTGGAGTTGGACCCCAGGACCCCCCCAGGTCACCCTCCAGAGGGTGCTCCAGAGACCCCCACCTCCTCCAATCACAACCCCTAGAGACCCCACCTCCTCCAATCACAACCCCTAGAGACCCCACCTCCTCCAATCGCAACCCCTAGAGACCTCACCTCCTCCAATCGCAACCCCTAGAGACCTCACCTCCTCCAATCGCAACCCCTAGAGTCCTCGTGGCTCAGGGCCTTTTCTCTTCAGTGACACTCAGTGGCCAAGTGAAGTACAGATGGGAAGGTGTTATTCTTTTTTAAAATATATATTTTTATTGATTTCAGAGAGGAAGGGAGAGGGAGAAATAGAAACACCAATGACGAGAATCATTGCCTCCTGCACGCCCCTCTACTGGGGATGGAGGGCATGTGCCCTGACCGGGAATTGAATCCTGACTTCCTGATTCATAGGTTGAAGCTCAACCACTTAACCACGCCAGTGGGGCCGGAAGGTGTTATTCTTTGTCACCAAATGTGAGCTCTGGGAGGACTTGACCCATAGCCGACTCAGCCTCTTTGGCCCCCATGTGTGACCGATATGAATGCCCAATAAAGACATTGACTTTACACTTGATTCCCGTGGGTGACAGGGCCCATTGGCACAGGCATCTGCTCTGACAGGCGAGGGTGGCGTCAACCTGGCTACTGGTCCCAGCTCCCTACCTCAGGCAAGCCCCTCTCCCTCCCTTGGACTCGGTGTCGCCATCAGTAAATGACTGCATGTTCTCTAAAATGCCGCGCAGCAGCCGGGTCTCTTACTGCTGGTTTAAGAACGGGCTTGGAGCTGGTGGGAAACCATCCTGCGCTCAGCTCTTCTCTTCCTCCTGCAGCTCAGGGCTTAGCTGCGGTCCTAACTTCGTACGCATCTCTCACCCGGGGAGCGGGAGCGTTTGTTATTAAAGCCACCTCTCTAGCGAAAGGAGGCTGCGGCTGCATCTGCGGCAGCTGCTCCAAGGCGGCCTCTCTCCCCGCAGCTGTCCCCGGTCTACGCGGGGAGGACCTGCGGCCTGTGCGGGAACTACAACGGCAACAAGGGCGACGACTTCCGCACGCCCGCGGGCCTGGTGGAGCCCCTGGTGGAGGACTTCGGGAACGCGTGGAAGCTGCACGCGGACTGCGCGGACCTGCGGCAGCAGCACAGCGACCCCTGCAAGCTCAACCCGCGCCTGGGTACGTGCGGGAGCCCGCGGAAAGCGAGGTCCCCGCGGAGCCCCGAGATCCCCACGTTCCCGCGCGCTCCACGGGGCGGGGCGCCCGGCGCTGGGGGAGGGAAGCGCTGGGTTTTTTTTCCCCCACCAGCATTTGGTGATCAGCATTTGATGATCCACCCCCCCGTGGGCCAGATTCTGGGAAAGGAAAGAACAGGATGTAGTTCCCGCCCCTGGACCTTCTCAGTCTGTCGGGGCAGCAGCCACCAAACTGAATTAAATTATCGTCAGATAAATGCACTGGAGGGGCCTTTTGCAGAGTCGTCTGCTGGGACATGTCAGCCCGACGCGAAGGTCCCCAGCTTACCCGGCCCATCGTGGCACTATTTCTCCCCCTGCCAGGTGGTGTGCCCTGGGCATACAGCCTCTTATGAATTTAAGCCGAATGTAATTAGGAAGGATATTGACCAGGGAAGAAAAATCACAGAGCTAAGGGGTGTTTCGGCGGCATGTACTGCGGAGGGAGAAGCTGGGATGAGGATCGCAGAGTAGGAGACCACGTTATCCCTGGGGGCGCGGGGCACCCAGGCCGTGGCCGTGCCCTCGCTAAGCCCGGCTCCCCGTCTCTCCCCTCCCCCACAGCCAAGTTCGCGGAGGAGGCGTGCTCTCTCCTGACGTCCCCCAAGTTCGAGGCCTGCCACCACGCCGTGGGCCCGCTGCCCTACCTGCAGAACTGTCACTACGACGTCTGCTCCTGCTCCGACGGCCGGGACTGCCTGTGCAGCGCCGTGGCCAACTACGCCGCTGCCTGTGCCCGGAAAGGGGTGCACGTCGCGTGGCGGGAGCCCAGCTTCTGTGGTGGGTGCTCTCCCTGCCTGCCACCCCCTCCCCGAAACCCAACAGAATCTGCCGCGGATGCCCTTCCTCTTCATGCACGTGGCCTTTACTCTGCTCTGTCCACATTCCTGCATTCTGAACCGGGACCAGGGGCATCTGACAGGCATAGCGTGTGGGGACAGTTCATTTGCAGCCACATTGCCTTCCCATCTCCCAGCAGGACACGGGGCAGGAGGGTGGGGTAGGGGGGGACTGGCTCACTCATAGGACAGCCTGGCTACTCCCGCTGTTTCAGGAGGGCAAGTTGGACCCCTTACCTGGAGGCCTAGATCATTGGTGTCCCTGCCAAGCTGAGATTGCCTGTGGCTGCTGCCACCTAGTGTTGGCTGCATGTATGGCCAGACTGTGGAGTGAGTGGGTCCCTGCATCCCTGGAAGGTCTGATGAAGGCAAGGGGACAGGCACGCGCCAATCCTTTGCTCTTAAGTTCCAGCGAAACATCGGTGGATTCCTGGCCCAAATCTCGGGCATTGTATAAAGTCGTGTGCAGTGGAATGACACCATTAGAGTCTCACTCTGCCCTGTTAGTTCTGGCAGGAGAGTTGGATCTGCCCCATGCTCCGGTCCCCCGAATGGATGGGTTGTGCTCACTTTCTGTTGTTAATGTAGTTGCTCAGGGGATAATTGCTGAGTGCCCAGTGTGGTGAGGAAATGGCAGTCGCATAGAACCTGAATCTTCCTTTTTGAGACACAGATGGGTCTGGTTCCCTACTAGTTTCCTAACACACTGAGTGAAATGATACTTAGGTTACTGCAGGGGCAACCAAGGAAGGCTTTCTGGAGGTGGCATACTAGGTTAGGTTTTTAAAATACTTTTTTTTTTTTTTGGCATAAAAGAGTTGTTTCCATGCTAGAATGGTAGTATGATGCATAGAAGTGAGGAAGGTATTCCGGAAGGATACGGTGTGGTGGATATTGTCATTTTTAGGGCTAGGTAGATGTGTTTGGAGACAAAAATTTGGTGGTCTTGACAGAAGCAGGAAAATAGGAGCTATGAGGAATAGTGAAATGACTTAATATCATGTATTTGAAGAGGAGTTTAGGTATGGGGTTTATTGAACCAACTCATGTTTTGAGTCAAAGCAATCCCACAAAAAAGCTGAGGCCTTCTGGCTACTTGCCTGTCACTTGCCAGCATGAGATCTTGAGCCCTTCACTTCCCTGTCCAGACTTTAGGTCCTCATGAGTGTTTGCTGTTTAGAAATTGGGGAAAGTAATGAGGGGTAAATGATGTGATGTTTGTGAATCTGCTTTGCTTGTCCAGCAATATTAGAAATGATGCCTGATCAGTGTGCGATAGCATCTGAAGGACTTCCTACTTTAGGACATTCTCCCAGAATGCTGAGGGCTTACCGAAATATTCTTTAATCACCCAAGAGCAGCTGTTCTTAGCCTCCACGGATAACAGCTTTCATAGGGACTGAGATTGGATTAGAGAGTTCCCTGACTCCTGAGGCTTTAAGATACGGAAGAGAAATCTGTCTCTATGGGTTTATGTGGAGGTGAACCAGATGGCCTTGGGTTGGTCTTCTGAGCCCAAGGAGGGTGGGCAGGACTCTTGGATTCATCCTGTTTCTCACTTTGCCTTTCTGAGAAAAAAACAGCTCCCTAAATCACTGACTCCATCCAGAAAGAGCGGTCACACCCACTGGGGACACTCATGGAGCAAGGACTGATCACATACTAGTAGCTGCTTTGTGGGCTCCTTGAAGGCAGGGACCAAGCTTTACCATCTCTGCATCCCTGAGCCTAGCACAGCCCTTGGCACACAGTGGGAGCACACTGAGATGGAGCTGTGCATTCTTCTGGGGAAGGAACCATTTAACGCGGCTCCAAGCCAGCTCTAGCGACACCCGTCAGAGCATAAAAGCAGCTCTTGGGTCCAGCTGCTCCTTTAATGGGTGAAATGCGCCCTTATCATGGTGGGTTCAATGGACTGAAAGGGACTTCCATCTTTATTGCCCAACACACCCCATCTTCACCCACCCTTGCCCTAATTATTTACCCAATGACCTGACCTCTCTGCTGGTCCAGAGGAAAATCTATATGTAATATGGTTACAGAGCCCCCTCCCTCCCCAGCTACCCTCAAATGCCAGGCCCAGAGCAGATGCAGGAGGGGAGGCTGTGGGGCACCTCTGGAGAGGCCCCCCTCATTTCTGAGGTTCAGGGCAGGGCTGTCTTTTACAGCTTCTGTGAAATGCTCCGCCAGTGGGCTTCGAGGTAGAAATGGATTCTAACAGAGGGGAAGGATCCTAATGGCCCCAGGAGCAGTGTCCCCAGAGCGAGGGTCTCATTTCTTGGACAACAGCTGATTGGCAACAGGGAAGCGGTTTGCTCCCACACCTCCCAGTAAAGAATTGCATCATCGGGGTGCCCATGAGACTGCTGGGAGCACAGAGGGTAGGTTATGTGTCCGCCAGAATCCAGGAGGGCTGGTCTCTCAGGCCCAGACCTTCTTCTGGAACACCCCTCCCACCTGAGCTGGGGCTACGTCTCCAGGGTAATCATAACGCAATAACAGCAGGGAACATTTGCCCTGGGCCAGGCATTCCTCTGAACACGTTAGCTCACGTAACTGCCCCAACAATCCAGGTGGGTACTGTCATCATATTCCAGGGAGGACACTACTCAAAGTCACCTCGCTAACTGATGGCAGAACTGGGGCTTGAACCCAGGAATTTGGGTTACAGAACCCCCTCTCTTAGCTACTTTGCCGTACTTCCTTCTGCCTTTTGTCTGTTGTGCTATTTCTATGTGGGAGGCCAGGGAGAGGGAGGCTGTGGGCACGTGGGTGCTGCCCACTTCGCTGGAATCAGTCTGAGTGTCCCTGCTCTATGTGACTGGTGTGTCCCCAAAAGCATGGCTCCTAAGGGAGTGTTACCTTTTTAGAGCCTAATGGTTAGGAGCATGAGCTTTTGGTTCACAGAGAGCTGGGTTCCCATCTTGCCTCTGCTCTGCCTTCGAGGCATGACCCTGACAAGTCACTTAGCTTAAGTGACAGTTTTCTTATCAGTAGAAAGGGGGATATGAGATCTAACTCACTGCAAGAGGTGTGAAAGGCATAAAACTTGTGTAAAGAGCAGGCTATGCAATAGGTGCTCAAAAAATTATGGCCATTATGTTATTATCATCATGGGAGAAATGCCCTTGCCCATTAATCCTTGTTCCTTTTAATATTCACAGCTTCACTACCCAGCAGGATCTCTACTATGTCCCAGGTTTTGAGGATTCAGCGATGACTAGCATGGCCCTTCTGGTTACGCAGAGAAAATATGTGTATCCCTAATTATAATAGACATTTGTGAGCATAAAGATACACTTTTGCTCATAGTGGGGAAAAAAAGCAGTGACCATACAGATATAATTGGGGAGGCGGGGTCACAGCTGCAAGGGGCAACCCCAAGTCCTTGTCATCTTAATGTTCCCACTGAGCCCTCCTTCCTCTCCCTCTCTCCTAGCGCTGAGCTGCCCACAGGGTCAGGTGTACCTGCAGTGTGGGACCCCCTGCAACATGACCTGCCGCTCCCTCTCTTACCCGGATGAGGAATGCACCGAGCTCTGCCTGGAGGGCTGCTTCTGTCCCCCGGGGCTCTACCTGGATGAGAGGGGAGACTGCGTGCCCAAGTCCCAGTGCCCCTGTTACTATGATGGTGAGATCTTCCAGCCTGAAGACATCTTCTCAGACCACCACACCATGTGGTAAGTGTAAGCACCAGGGAAAGGAAAATGGTCCCCCAAGTCCTTCATTTCACAGATGGGTAAGCTGAGGCCTCAGAACGGGAGTGACTTGTCTGCAGTTGCACAGGAAGTCAGAGCAGAGCTGGGACTGCGCCCAGGTCTTCTGACTTTCTTGCTACTCGGGAAACTAGAACTGCGGGCTGGCAATAGGATTCCTTGATTTTTATTGCCAACGATCATGTGTTGGGCCCTTTTCTAGAACATGAAACGGGGGCTCTCCTTGTCCCTCTCCCCTTCAGCCTCTTGTCAGTGTCTCAGGTTGAAACATTTGAACCAGAAGAAAAGACATCACAGAAGTGTTGCCTCAGTGGTGCATTGCTGTCCCGACTGGCTTGTGCATGTTCTTGAAAAATAGCTCTAAATAGTGCTTGCTTCTTGCTGCCCTTCGTCCAGGCCCTCTGTCACGGCCAGTTTCCGCAGGGTTGTCATGGTCACAGAAAAAATTTGTAGCAGAAGCTTTGTTGGGCAAACACTTCCTTGGCATCTGCTCAGTCCCTGGTGCTGGGCTAGAGACAGGGCATCTAAAGATGAACAGACAGTGTGGGCCCCAAGGGAGCTGACAGTCTACTAGGGAGAACAGTTAAAATGTCCTGATTCTGGAAAATTTCACACAGACATAAAAGAGAGAGAATAGTGTAAGGGGCCCTAATGCATTCATCCCAGCTTCAGTGATTATCAACACTTGGTCATTCTTAGTTTATCTATTCCCTCCTCCCCTTTGAGGCTGGAATAGTTTACAGAAAACCCGAGCTACTACCTCATTTCATGTGAAAATACTTCAATATGTATTTCTAATAGATAGTATTTATAAAAACCTAACATTAACAATAGTTCCTTGATAACATTTAACATTCAATCCATGTTCACTTTTTTCCTGATTGTCTCAAAATGTCTATTTTTAATTGGTTCATTTGAATCAAGGTTCAAACAAGGTCTGCATGTTGCATTTGATATAAAACTTTTCTCATTATTCCAGTGAGATTAACTTGCAGCCCCTCTTAATTATTGTACCCCCAACAGGCTGTTTACACTTGTATTAAAGCAATTGTGGCCATTAGACTTGGGTTTCAGTGAAATGTGTTGATTATCCTTCTAGAGCCAGGGGTGGGCAAACTTTTTGACTCGAGGGCCACAATGGGTTCTTAAACTGGACTGGAGGGCCGGAACAAAAGCATGGAGGGAGTGTTTGTGTGAACTAATATAAATTCAAAGTAAACATCATTACATAAAAGGGTACGGTCTTTTTTTTTTTTTTAGTTTTATTCATTTCAAACAGGCCGGATCCGGCCCGCGGGCCATAGTTTGCCCACGGCTGTAATCTAGACTGTGACCTCCCCAAGGGTAGAGAACATATGTCAGACCCAGATCCCCAACACCTAATACAGTTCTGGCAAAAAGTAGGTAGAACCAATGTTTTGAACCAATATAACTAATATTAATAGAACCAATATAACTAATATTTGGTAGACTCACCATAACAGAGACAAAAATCTCTACTCCTTCAGAACAGGAGAAGATTGCTCATGGTGTGGTTCCCCCAGAGTGAGTAATCCAAGAGAGATGGAAGCCACAGTCTTTTATAACCTCATCTTAAGTGACATATGGGATGTCGCTGCTGCCATGTACTGTTGGTCACACAGACCAAACTTGGTACAGTCGGGGAGGGGGTTATACCAGGGTGTGGCTACCAGGATGTGGGGATCATTGGGGACCATTTAGGAGACTAGATGCCAGGAAAACAGATACCCATGTTAGGGGACAGGGCTGGGATTGGAAGATAGAAATAAAATAAAAAATTAAAAATCGAGTCCTTTATGCAAAGCCTATGCTGGATACTGGGGATAAAATGGTGAGCAAGAGCAGTCATGGCTTCTGCGTTCTTGGATCTTATAGTCCAGTGACAGAGAGAGAGAGAGAGAGAAAGATATGTTAACCAATAAAAACCCAAATATATGTCAAGCTACAGTGTGCTAAGTTCTAGGAAAAGGAGCCCAGAGTGAGTGGGAGGCCAGGAGACAGAGGTGGTGGTTGTAGCGACTCTTGCAAAGCTGGGATGTGTTTTTCCTCTGCAGCTACTGTGAGGACGGCTTCATGCACTGCAGCACGAGCGGAGCCCCGGGAAGCCTGTTGCCACAGCACATTGTCTTCAGCGGTCCCCTCGGTCCCCTGTCTCACCGCAGTGAGTACTGGCCCCTGGAAGGGCGCTTCCTCCCGCTGCCCAGACTTCTCATGCATGGAGGCGGGAGAGGGCTGGGCTGCTGCACGAGGTGCGTGTCCATTCAGATACGGGTCAGGATCGCCACTATTTCTGTTTCTCAGGACTAGACACACCTTTCTTTGTATGTGTGAACCCAAGTTGTTAAGGCAGGAAGAATTTCCTTTTGTGACCCGGGAAAGACTGAATTATCTGTAGGTGCATTCAGTGAGAATCCACTGAATCTAATTTGCCTATGGTGACCTCAGTCCATGGTGAGCAGCTCTGGGTGAGTGGGTCGCCTTGATTGTGGTGAAAACACCTGCCTGCAATGGCCTTCTTTTTCCTAAGGACTTGCTGGCAAGGACACTTCTTTAGAAAGTGGATTTGAAAGAGGAGAGTTTGGACCTGTCTCTCTCAGTTCGAAGGTCCTAATAGTTGCTGCTGTTTAAGGACAAGGCCTGGAAGAGAGAAGGGGCCGGCCCAGCACTGGTGGGACCAGATTCACATTTATGGGTCACCCTTGCTTAGATAGGCCCTCCCAGTAGCCGGGAGAGAATGCCTTTAGGCAGATAAATGGGCTATTTTCAACCTCTAGCTTGACCTCTCCTCTCTCTGCCTCTCACTTACTTCAAGATGCTCTCTTTCCTTGTGGCCCAGCTCTGTGCCATGTGTTTGTCTGCCAGCTTGCCCTGGGTGAGAAGACTGGTTCCCCCACATGATGGACTGGGAAGCATCTCTCAGTCTGGAGCTGGGTCAAGGTCCCAAGCACTGGGTGGCTCACAAGTTGAAAGAAAAACTTATGACCTTGTCCTATTCTGTTCCGCCTGCTATAACAAAACACAACAGCCTGGTGGCTTATAAACAGGAATTTATAGCTGACAGTTCTGGAGGCTGGAAGTCTGAGACCAGGGTGTCAGCATGGTTGGCTGAGGGTCCTCTTCCTGGCTCCTAGCTGATGCCTTCTCGCTGTGTCCTCACATGGTGGATGGTGCTAAGGCAGTGATGGCGAACCTTTTGAGCTCAGCGTGTCAGCATTTTGAAAAACCCTAACTTAACTCTGGTGCCGTGTCACATATAGAAATTTTTTGATACTTGCAACCATAGTAAAACAAAGATGTATATTTTTGGTATTTATTTTATATATTTAAATGCCATTTAACAAAGAAAAATCAACCAAAAAAGAGTTCACGTTCACCTCTGACACGCGTATCATAGGTTCGCCATCACTGGGCTAAGGAGTTCTGTGGAGTCTCATAAGGGCACTAATCCCATTTGTGAGGGTTCCATCCTTATGACCTAATCACCTCCCAAAGGCCTCACCTTCTAATATCATCACATTTGGGAATTAGGATTTCAACATATGGATTTTTGGGGCCCAAACATTCAGCCCATAGTAAACCTGCAGGTCACTGCAGCCTGCCTCTTTCTTCTTCATGCTGTCTTTCATTGTAGCTTCTTGGTCACATTCCCCCTTCCCTCTCATTGTGGCTCTTGGGTCTATCTTTAATGCTCAGAGTCTTCTAATCTAGTCACTGGAAGGGATCATCCTTTTCAAAGTCAGGAAATTCCTAAAATGTTGTGTGACTAGGAAAAGCCATTTAATCTTTTAGGGTTTCAATTTCTCAACAAAAAGTTTCCATATAAAAATAAGGCTAGAGCCCTAGCTGGTTTGGCTTGGTGGATAGAGCATTGGCCTGCAGACGAAAAGGTCCCAGGTTTGATTCCAATCAAGGCCACATGCCCGGGTTGCTGGCTCGATTCCAACTAGGGGAGCATGCAGGAGGCAGCCAATCAATGATTCTCTCTCATCATTGATGTTCCTCTCTCTCTTTCCCTCTCCCTTCCTCTCTGAAATCAATAAAAAATATTGATTTAGTGCCCACAGGAGATTTTAAGTGGTATGTCTAGTAAGATATACATGCTATGAAGTGCATCAGGATTTTTGAAAGAAAGGGTCTGTATCAGCCATCTGCTGTCATTATTTATTCAATCAGACACTATACCTGCTAATTGTCAGGAAATATGATATATTTCAATGAACAAAGTAGACAAGAAACTGTGCTCATGGAGCACATATTCTAGTGGATGGGGTGGGAAATAAGTAAAATATATAGTATATCAGATGGTGGTCAGGTGGAGAATGAGAAAGCAGGGAGGGCAGCGGGGATCTCAAGGGATGGAGTGTTACAAATGTAAATAGAGTTGCTGGGATGGCCAGTGGCTGGACAAAGGGTGACATGTGAACAAAGGCTCCTTTCAAGTTTTTGTGACTAAGTTAGTGGTAACAATTTTAGGAATGTCCTGTTGGGGCCCACAGAGGTTCCTTTTTAGCACCCAAAACCAGGTCTTTTAAAGCTTGGGTCTGGACATTTCTACCATGCATCTTGGGTCAATGCAACCCACTACAGCAGGGTGAAGGGAGATGTGGAGTGTGGCCATCAGAGGGATGCTGGGATCCAGAGAGACACCTTCAGTGTAGGCAAAGGTCAGAAGCTCAGTTGAGTAGACAAGGCTGCCATCTGATCCCACACAAGAAACCCAGCTCAGACTAGACCCATAGGAGGTAGGGCAGCACCCCATCCCAGGAAGGGGCAGCTCTGTGTCTTTGGAATGGAGTGACCGCACCTAGGGGACCACAGGACAGTATAGAAGGTAGGTCTGTTCACCCAGTCACTGATGGCCTCTTTGATTTTCCCATCTCCAAGGTAAAAGGAGCTTGTCCTGCCGGCCCCCCATGGTCAAGTTGGTGTGTCCTGCTGACAACCCGCGGGCTGAAGGGCTGGAGTGTGCCAAAACCTGCCAGAACTACGACCTGGAGTGCATGAGCACGGGCTGCGTCTCCGGCTGCCTCTGTCCCCCGGGCATGGTGAGCCACCCACTGCTGCCAGGGGTCGGCAGCTGTCCATTTTCCTGTAGGCAGAGAGAGGAAGAAACAAGAGTTAAACCAGGGTGGGAACCAGGTGGCAGTGGTAACGGGGGCAGGGGTCAGGGAGGTCCCTTGGCTGAGTCAGCCGCCAAAGTCAGAAAGGGAGATGGTAGGAAACTGTCTGGGTTTGATCCTGATGAGATCTGACAAAAATGCTTAGTGCACAGAGGTGCCATGGGAAGCAAAGCAAGAATTTCCAGAAAACTCAAGTGAAAAACAGGCACTTCTACTAGAATTTTCTTAGCCACCAGGAGCCCTTCCTAGTAGGTGTCTTCTTTCTCAGGGTTCACAGTGGTTTGCAGCCACCTGGCTCCTATGTGCCTCCTGATGGTGGCCATGGTCTGAGCATGCCCAAGTCTTCTTAACCTTCCTCCCAAGTTTAATCTTAGGCCGTTTTGAGTTAAAAATATTATATATATGTTATTCTTTTCACCCTGAAAACCAGGAGAGATTCTGGATTTTCTCTTTCAAATGCATCTTGTCTTCTTGCTTTCTTTGACTACAGTTCCTCAGACCCAAAGTGAGTGTTGAGGGGCGGGGGTTGGAGAGGCAAAAATAAGAGGGGGGCAAGGTGGCTTTCATATGGCTGTAAAGGGCATAATGATGCCCAAGGCCTTGGCTTAGGGGCAGTGTCCAGGGCTGGAGGAGTTGCCAATATTCCATGGGAGGCACTAGGACCCATCACCTGTGGCCCTCAGGAAGACTGCCATTGTGTGTGTGCAGGGCAGATGGTCTATCTCTTCCCTCTAACCAACCCTTTCTCCTCCAAGACAGAGACTAGCTGCCACTCATTCTCCCCTGGGCATCCCCCTCTGTCTTAGCCTCTCAAGATTCTGGAACTATCTCTCCTAATGAGGGAGCTAGAGATTGGCCCTAAACTAGAAGGTCTTGTTTGGTGCCTTGGCAGAACAAGCAGGCTGTTCAAAGAGGTATGTAAGGAGGAGGAGAAATAGGAGAGAGGAGTGCAAGCTTCCATGTGCTCTTTTTACCCCGAAGGCCCCTTATTTTGACTGTCCCTTCTCCATACCTAGAGGTGACATTCTCCCATGTCAGAGGCGGCTCGGGCAAGAAAAGGGACATCCTTCAGGAGTTTGCATCAGCATCAGGGACTCTTTTCAATGAGTTTTGTTGTTTTTTTCATGAAGGAAAGCATACAGATAGTCTTAAATATTAATAACCACAATGATTGCATGTGGTTAAATATTAATAACCACAATGATTGCATGATTGTCCCAAAGCCCCAGTGGAGAGTGAGACCTCGAGTACAGGATGTGGACGTGCTGTTAGGAGCTCACTGGCATTACTGAAGCCTCTGGCAGACATCCTGAGGACCATCTTTGGGTGTCTGTCTCTCACCTCAGCCTCAGGGGCTTGTCAACTGGAAAGCTCGTGGTCTAAGAGATTGGGATATTTTCACAACTGCTTCATGATGATGCCGACTAACGTGCAAATTGTCGAGGCCAGATTCGGCAGAGCAGAAAGGCCTGGGTGATTTATTAAGTGCACAGCGTGTTGGCTGCTGCACAGGACACGTGTTCCTGGACGCAATGCAAAGAAAAAGGATCTGGAAACACCCCGTTTGGGCCCATCTGACGGTGCGGACATCCTTCCCAAGGGTGCTTCTCTGTTTGGCCGTCCCCTGTGGAAGGTGGTGAGGCTGTGGCATGTTACTGAGGGTTTGGGGGGAGAGGTCAGGAATTCTGTGTTCTGAGGACCTGAAAGGGGAGAGGGAGTAGTTCTTTCCTGTGGGGCAGGTCTACTGAGAGCAGAAAGAGTCCCCGAGTAGGAACAGAGGTCAGAGGGCCACGTTCTCAGTCCAGGCTGCACGACTTTCTGGCTCCTTGCTCTTGGGCAATCATCCACTCTTTCTCTGAGTCTCAGTTGCCTGGTCTGTAACATGGACACACTTCCTGTTCTGCCTTCATCGCATTTACCGTGGACCTGAAGGAGTTGTATGTGAAAGAACTTTTAAAACCAGAAAGTGCTGTCAAATCATAGGAACAGCTTTCATTATTGTTTTCATAAATCACTGAGGGTCAGTCTCAGAGGCTATACCCATCTGCTCCTCTAGTCCATGGGAGAAACAGAAAGGGCCCATTTTCTTAAATTTCCAATCTGTTGTGGACCAAAGCTTTTCTAAATATAATAGAATAATCAGAAACACGAAACAAAAAAAGCAATTACATATAACATATGACCCCTTTGATTTTTATAGCTACACCAGGTGTATATTACTCAGTCAGATTGGCGTGTGATTTTCTAAACACCTCCTCTCCAGTCTGTGCTGACATCATCACAGACCGACACTGGCCCGTGGACCACACTCTGAGCAGCGCTGCTCTTGGTTGAAGATTGCCTTTCAAAACGTCTCTCAATGCTCGTTGCAAGGCCAGCAGCACCTGCTGGAGAATGCTGGGGGCAGGGAGAGAGCAGGGCCGGGCACCTGTCTAGAGCAGAGGTTTCCTGGTTCACTCCTCAAGTAGCAGCCTCCATTGGATCCTGCCTCTGGTGCGCAGGGCTCCTTGCATGGAACAAGAGGGTGGGCACACTTGTGGTAAGTGGTTGGTGGAGAAGCAGCATAAAAAAGGCATTGAATTGGAGCCCAAAAACTCTAGGTTTGAATCCTGGCTCCTGACATTTCGTTAATGGAGTGGCAAGTCACTTAAAATCTTTGTGTCTGATTTCTATCACCTCTAAGATTGGGTTAGAAGGGTTGTTGTGAGGACAGAATATGACAGTGGCAGGCACATGGAGGTTGCTTAGTAAGTGGTGGTTGAAGATGGCTATTATAAGAAGTTCATGGAGGAAAGCCATAAGTCATATTAGGAATGGGGATGCCCTAGTAAATTTTCAGACACGGGGAGCAATTTTTTTGAAACCCCAATGTCCACATTATGAGGCCACTGGATCAATAAAATGGGGCTGCACTAGAAAATTTTAAAGTCTTTTTCTTTAGTTTCAGAGGTACTTGAGTGAACCACTTGCCTTTAAGTTAGAATTTTACCTGATTCTACCAGGAGGTGGCAGCAAAACACAACCTACTGCCCACTGTTCAGCCCTCATCCCAGCCACAGCTGGAACCCTCTCTAGGAGCATCATCCAGGGGCAGAGTGAGAAGGAACCCCCAAACCCAGGATTTCAACCCCTTCCAACACACAGGAGGAGACCAGAGGAAGAGAGGAAGCAGAGCCATTTAAGGATACATAGTTGCATAATGGAAATCCTGGCCTCCTGAGTCCCAGATTGGACCCTTCGGAGGCTGGGGCAGGAGGTGCTGTGGAGGAAGTGTAGTACCACTGTCTGGGAGATGCTCACTTCCCTTTTGAAATCTAGTGTTCGCATTTCCAAACTGGTACCCGTTCTGCTGGTACAAGGATGCCTTTGGCAACTGGGAAGTGTGTTAATTTCCCTGTGTGTTAATTTCTTTGATGCCCAGTTTTCCCACAGGCCCAATATGAAGACTGGAAAGACTTTGGCACTGTTTTTGGAAATATAGAGCTTGGGCTCAGGGGCCCATCCAGAGTGGGCCTCACACGTGGGCATTGTGAATCCTATGAGATATCATCTAAAAAGGTCCAAGAAAGCCCCCCTGCCATCGTAAAAATATCTCCTACACTTCATACAATTTGTCAGCTAATCAGGCTTACTAAAATACAATAAGCACAAGTTCATTTTGGTTAACAAGCAAGAGCTTTAAAGAAGCTTACAACCTTATAAATCCTCACGGGAAGTCATTCACACCTTAGTGTGAATTATTTCATCAGCTTCCCCCCCCACCCCCTTCCTAGCGAACATATAATTGAAATCAGCTGCATTGAGCTGGAAGGATTGATGGGGTGGGAGAATGAGTAAAGGACAGTAGGAAGGCAAGAAGGATTTTGAAGAATGGGTCATTTTGAGTGTGGTGTTGATGTTTTGGAATGGGGGTAGGGAAGATGGGGCTTTTTTAAGAGAAGAGTAACAGCCCCCAAACCCATTTCTTCCTACGTCATAATTTTTGGGGGGCGCTGATCAAGACCTGGTGCCATGCTCTCTGTGTGAGTCATTCCTACTGAAGATGTCACGAGTGGAGGAACAATAGTGACAACTATTTCTGCCTATTTTCTTCTGAAGTCTTTGAAGGGTCATTTGTCAACTTTATCTTATTAACCCTTTGGTGTCCCACAGAGGCAAATACTAGGCAGAGAGGGTTCTCTTCATTTTAGTCATGAAGTTGCATGACTTGCCACGAAATCCGCCTAGGGCCTGCTCTACTAGCCTACCCCGCGTGTCTGGCCAGTTCTCATCCAGACCCCGTTCACCTGTATTGTGCCTTTATTTTTCTATCTCCATGAATTTCTTTAATGCTTCAGGTTGGTGATACCTGATCTTCTCTCCCACGTCTGGAGCCTCCTGCTGAAGTGGGGCCTGGAAACCTCTCCTTCTCCTTGAGTTTTGCTTTGTCTCCCCTGCAGCTAGGATGAAGGGATCCATTACCATGCCTGTAATCTTCATAGCAGTCCTCATTCTAAAGGTCCTTTCTTTTATTAAAATGTAGTTAACATACAATATTATATTCATTTCAGGCATACAACCTAGTTATTCAACTTTCATACACCTCACGAAGTGATCATCACGATCAATCTAGTAACCACCGGACACTGTACAAAGTTATTGCGGTGTTATTGACTATATTCTCTATGCTGTACATTACAATCCCAATGATTGATTGATTTTATAACTGGAAATTTTTGCCTCTTATTTATCCCCCCCCCTTTTTTCCCTTTTCCTTAACCCCTTCCCCTCTGGCAACAATTTGTTCGTTCTCTGCATCTATGAGTCTGTTTCTGTTCTGTTCTATTTGTTTGTTTTGTTTTTTAGATTCCACATATAAGTGAAATCATACAGTCCTATTTTAATATTGTAATCCACCAATTAGTAATCTTTTACTAAAATAAATCAGGGCAGAGAGGAGCACAGAAGGAGCTGGCAGCGTTAATCTCACGGCCAAGCTGGGATTTGAGCTTTATGTTCACTGGAGAAGGGCTGGGCTGCCCGGGACTCAGCCCTGGGCTAGGGGAGGGCTATCTGAGCCATGGTGTGCAGAACTTTTTTGTCAATGGGCTGACTATCTTGAAGAGAGGTAAAAACATACAACACGCAGACTAAGAGGCCTGGGAGCCCTCTACCCAGCCTGCTGTAGGCGGTGGGACAGCATGTGCTCTGCGAGGTGAGGTGAGGGCTGTGTTTCCCGGAATCCACCCCTATGCATCCTGCATCATTTTTGTCTCAGGTAATGCTTCTGATATGAGGCTTGTTTTCTGGTCTCCATTAGCTGTAAGAGTGTCCATGTTCCCCAGTAAATGCATTATTTATGTTATTTTTAGAGTAGCCACTAGGTGGCAGGCCCCAGCCTAACAGAGCTGGCAAAGCTTGGGAGGATGTGGGAATGACCCCTAATTGTGACAGCCTTTGAAACCTGAAGACAGATTTTTAAATCCCCTCCCTACCAAGCTGCCATCTTTCCTACTAGGTGACTAAGCTCATTGTCTTCCAAGAACAGTAGTCCTAGGAGGTAAGAGCTACCAAGAATGTGGTCGATCAACACCTTCCTCACTCTCTGCAACCCCATCCTGCCCTTTACTTGGGCCCTAAGGACTCAGGAAAACAACTGAGGCTGAGGAAGGTGATGGGGAAGGTGATGGAGGTCATTTTTCCCATCCTTTCCAACAACCTCCCCCCACACACAATTTTAACCTTTGCTCCTTGACCTGAAAGCCCCTTGTCCAGTCCAAGAACACCTGTTCCCAGGGCTTCGTCTTGTTTCATGCCCTGGGAACTCAAGCTTGTCTGGGGAGTGACCGGATCACACAGGTCCTGAGCCATCCAGACTAGGAGCTTCTCAACCCTCTGGTTCCTCTAGAACCAACCGTGGTCCCTTCACTGGAGGGCGATCAGGGCTGTTTTAGATCACTTGGCGGTAGCCACGCCAGAGCAACACCCAGGGCTGCCTCCTGCAGGGGGGACAGCAGCAGATCTATATGTGGGGTCAGAGTGGGTTTGGCCAGCTCTTCCTGAGCCCACTGGGGTCAGTAGGTCTTAGTCTTTCTTCCTTACCCCAACCGATGAGAGGAGCATAGCATGCTCATGTTGTAACCTCTGTGTTGGTGAGGGGGAGGGCAGGAAAGTGGAGCATCTCTGTGGGGGGTGGGGGGGGGTCAGGATCTCAGGGACTGGGTAAGGAGGGCACATGTGCGGCCTGAGCTAGTTCCCAGACTCTGGTTTTGGTCCATCTCTGCCTGTGGCCAGCATTTCACCTCCAGGGTAGTAAGTGCATTAATAATTCATTCATTCATTTTATTAAATATATTGTCCATTGTCTTCAATTATAAACATAGTATTTGCTCATTAAAGAACATTTGAAAAAAATATTTAAAACCAATAAAAATAAAATAAAATTCCCCTATCCTAGCCCACCATCTGGAGGCAACTTCTATATTTCCTTTAAGTCTTATTTTTGAAATTCGTAATTGGGACCATATGTATATACAGGTTTTTTCTCCCCTGTTTTAAATATTAACAGCATAAGTATTCCTCACATCTTCTAAGATTCTCCCAAAGGCCCATTCTAATAGCTCCATGGACACCATCACCCGGTGAGTCCTTAATGGATTTAATCACTTTTCTATTGTTGAATACTTGGTTGCTACAATTTTTTTTCCCAACGGTAAGTAATTCTGTGTTAACCTCTGACCGCGACTCTTTTACATTCGGAGAAATCATCTGCATGGAAGTTTGGGGGCTAAGAATATGTGCATCTCAAAGTTTTCTGACACATGTTATCGAAGAGTCTTCGTTCAGGTTCCCGGTGACCGTGCCCCCATCAGGGTCTGAAGCAGAGGGCAGTCCGAGAGTCGTCAGCTGAGCTAGGGAGTATCCGTGTATGTAGCCGGGTGCCTGTGTCCCCCAAGCCCAGCCCTGGGTGTGGGCTCTAGGGCCTGACCTCTGGCTGAGGCTGCCTCCCCAGCAGAGCTCTGGGTCACTCGCTGTGGCCCCCAAGACTCTTGGGTCGCTTTCCCTTAGGTCCGGCATGAAAACAGATGCGTGGCCCTGGAAAGGTGTCCCTGCTTCCACCAGGGCAAGGAGTATGCTCCCGGAGAGACGGTGAAGATCAACTGCAACACTTGGTGAGGCCCTGGGAGAGGCTTTTGCGGCGACTGAGCCATTGTGGGGGGAGTCAGCAGGGGTGGGGATGAAGGTCAAGATGCTGGGGGGCGGGGGGGCCAGACCTCGCCAAGGTTGACCCTTGCCTCCAGCATCTGAGGGAATGTGGTTACTTTTTCCTTTTTTGAGCCTCTGTGTCTCTATCTGTAAAATGGGGAGAATCTTTATCACCACCTGTGCTCACCTGCATGGACACTCTTCTAGAGGTTAGTTTCCGTTCAGAGAGATGGGGCCTGGAGAAGATGAGGACGTTGCCCCATATCAGTCATTGTACATGTGACCAAGTCACCAAAGGGCGTGGGGTTGGAGGTCCCTTCTCTGGCCTTCTATTGCCCCCTAAGCATATTGCCCGTGAGTGTGCGTATAGTGACACCATTTGAAAAGGCACCTTGTGAGAGTGGCTGGCTTCTCTTTTCCCTTCTGCTTGGCCATCCTTCACATAACCCTCTGCCTTGCTCATTTACCGTGTCTCTGACTTTGGGGCTGTGCATGGCTTTACGGAGAGGCCCATGTGGGCAGAGGCAAGAAGCTTAGCTGTCTGGGGCCTGAGGTCTGAGCTCACCGCCTCTGACGCACAGTGGGCTTCCTCATGTCAGCTCCGGTTACCGGGCGGTGGGATGCGGCGTTATGGCAGTTGGCAAGTTGCTGTAGATTTAACCATATAACTGTGCACACAAAACCTCTCCTGGCAGAAGAGCATGGTTCATCACTATTTGCCCGACTCAGAACGTTCCTGCTGGCCCGTCTTGTTTTCCGCATCAGCCTCGGATGGCATGCAGCCTCAGTGTCTGTTTTTAAAAAATATTTATTTTTATTGATTTCAGAAAGGAAGGGAGAGGGAGAGATAGAAGCATCAATGGTGAGAATCATTGATATGCTGCCTCCTGCAGGCCCCACACTGGGGATTGAGCCTGCAACCTGGGCATGTGCCCTGACTGGGAATTGAACCGTGACCTCCTGGTTCATAGGTCGATGCTCAACCACTGAGGCACACTGGCTGGGCAGTGTCTGTTTTGTAGAGACCCTGAGGCTACTCTCAGGCAACTTCCAGGGAGGCCGAGCTTTAGCAAACTTGTAGCAGGCGGTCTACAGAGGGTCTGGGTCTCTTCCCTGGGCTGCCTGGATCACCTGTTCCCTTCTTTGCCTCAGTTTCCCCCTTGTAATGAAGTGCAGCACGACTTCCCTCTCTCCTGCTGGATCCCCCCACTTCTTGAGGCTTCCTGAAAAGTTGGGTGGCACCTGGAATATTATGTTCCTTCCTGGCCTCCTCATCCCCCAGGGCCCACATGGGCCCCTCACACCCTTCACACCCACCATCCTGGCCATTTCTGTTCCTAGTGTCTGTCGGGACCGGAAGTGGAACTGCACGGACCATGTGTGTGATGCCACGTGCTCCACCATCGGCGTGGCCCACTACCTCACCTTCGATGGGCTCAAATACATGTTCCCCGGGGAGTGCCAGTACGTTCTGGTGCAGGTGAGAGAGAGGGATGGGGGGAGGGTGCTGTCCTTAGGTGGGGGGTGCAGTCTGGGGTTTCTAGGTCAGAGTCTGCTGCTCTGTCCATAGAATCGACTCTGGGCTGGTTTCTCCAGTGACTTTCCAGCCCCAGAAAGAAGGGCCTACAGAGGTCAGGGCTCGAGCTTCACGTGATCGCCATCTTCCTTTACTTTACCTGATGGAAACATAAACATAGGACAGAAGCTCATTTGTTGACTGGGATTGTTGTGGGGCAAGGCTACTGTCAGCCCAAATCAGCACCAAAACAGAATTAGAACAAGGCATCTAACCCACACAGCCTTATGCAGCGGCCCTGGACAGGGGGATGGTTGAAATGACCCCTGGAGTTTGCTTCCCACCCTCTGATTCTATTGCATTCTCCACATTTTCTTTTCTAACCTGGTGCAATTCAGAATGGGCAGGAAGGAGGGTGGGCACAGGAAAGCCACACTGCCCAGCAGGATGAGAAACTGCCTAGCTGGTGAGTGAGGGCCCTCTGCCTTCTTCTCCCCGCTGGGTGGATTCCTGTAAATTTCTCTTGCTGGTTGACACCAAAGTGATAAGCAAGGAAGGATGGTGGCTTTTCTCATGAAGAATGAGATGGCTTAACTCTGTGAAGCTTTAAACAAATGTGGTCTCTCTGTCTCCGTTCTTGGGAGGAGGAGGGGTGGGGGCTTGGTATGGTCTGAGGGAGGCCACAGACCCAGCAGCCTTAGTCTCAGAGACTGAGCTGCAGGGTCCTGTGAGTCAGGCAGTGAAGGTAACTGAGTGTGCACGCCTGCTCAGCACGCTGGGAGTGGGGCAGAACCAGCACCCTGACCTGCCATGTGCAGAGCATGCTGGGAGTGTGCAAGGGCACTGACTAGCATGTGCAGAGCATGCTGGGTGTGAACAGGGGCACTGACTAGCTGCATGTAGAGCAGCGGTTCTCAACCTGTGGGTCGAGACCCCTTTGGCGGTCGAATGACCCTTTCACAGGGGTCGCCTAAGACCATCCTGCATATCAGATATTTACATTACCACTCATAACAGTAGCAACATTACAGTTATGAAGTAGCAACGAAAATAATTTTATGGTTGGGTCACAACATGAGGAACTGTATTTAAAGGGCCAGAAGGTTGAGAACCACTGATGTAGAGCATGCTGGGAGTGAACAGCAGCAGCAACTAGCCAAGCCTCCACCACCCACAACAGAGATGACTTGATGCCAATCTTCTGACCTGGGGAGAGGTGGCAGGAATAATATTTCACCTCTTTCCCCCAGGATTACTGTGGCAGTAACCCTGGGACCTTTCGGATTCTGGTTGGGAACGAGGGATGTGGCTACCCCTCAGTGAAATGCAAGAAGCGGGTCACCATCCTGGTGGAAGGAGGAGAGATTGAACTGTTCGATGGAGAGGTGAGTGGCAGCCCATCCTTTCCCCCTCAGGCCCCCTTGTTCTTCTGTGGGCTTGTGAAGAGCATGTGCCAAGCATTCGTTTAGAACTTTCGTGAATGGAATATCATGCAGCCATGAAAGAGCGTGAGGTGGAGCTGTATCATCTGACTGTGATGTATTCTATAAGAACAAGTTACAGATGCGTATGCATAGCATGAACCCATTTTAGTGAAGGTGAAGAGAAAAGCGTGGAGAAGGGTGGTAATGCTATCCGCATAAGGATCAGTGCTTACCTCTGAGGGTAGAGTGGACACTGGAGGGCAGGAGGACTTTTCCTTCTAATTACATGTATGTATAATATATATAGAATACAATTATATATACATATATTATATATATGAATATATGAATATGTATATTTTAGGAAGTGATGGTGTTTCGAGAATTTTAACTTTCTTTTACGTTGTCAGTTCTTTTTAAATAAATCTTTTTTTAAAAAGAGCAGTAACCAGATCCAGGCCCCATGTAGAGCTTTGACATGGTTCTCAGAGGGTATGTGAGAACCACCAAGGAGATCTTGTTTAAGATGTTGAGCCTGGCTGGTGTGGCTCAGTGGTTGAGCATCGACCCATGAACCAGGAGGTCATGGTTTGATTCTTGGTCAGGGCAAATGCCCGGGTTGCAAGCTCAATCCTCAGTAGGGGAGTGTAGGAGGCAGCCAATCGATGATGTTTCTTATTGATGTTTCTATCTCTATCCCTCTCCATTTTTCTCTCTCTAAAAATCAACAAAAACATCTGTATATATAAAAGCCTAAGTGCCTGAACGACCGAATGACTGGTCAACCGGTCACTGTGACGTTCACTGACCACCATGGGGCAGATGCTCAATGCAGGATCTGCCCCCTGGTGGTCAGTGTGCTCCCGACAGGAGCCAGATGCAGGGCGCAGGGCTCATGGCTGGTGAGCACCACTGCGGTAGCACGAACCTCTCCAGCTCGGGACTCCTCTCCTGATTGGGACTGACTGGGTGCGAGCCACAGCAGGCACAGAGGGCTGGGATGAGTGGTGAGCGGGAGTGGCAGGCAGGAGCAGCAGGTGGTGTTGGACTGCTGGTTTTATCCCCATCCCCTCAGGTCACACCGAGGGACCCCACTGGAGCACGAATCTGTGCACTGGGCCTCTAGTATTTTAATAAATAAATAAAATCAATTGCCTAGAGATGCTTAAAGTCATTGCCACATTAAAAACCTATTTAGGAGGCCACATGTATTTAATGATCACATGTCAAAAGTTCTTTTAGGGAAGTGATGGATGATCTTCTGTTAGCTGGTTTTGTTGTATTTTTAATCTCATAATTATGATTTTGCTGCCACCTCTATTATTTCTCCTTAGTCAGAAGGTTCTTGGAGAGTGAAAGGTGAGACAGACACAGAAATGTCCAGGCAGGTGCTGGCCACGAGGGATGAGCTCTCACTGAATGGGGCAAATGGAGCTCCATGGAGGCAGATATGGGTACTCCCTCTCCCTGTCTCACGCTTCACCCTCCTTCAGGTGAATGTGAAGAGGCCCATGAAGGATGAAACTCACTTTGAGGTGGTGGAGTCTGGCCGGTACATCATTCTGCTGCTGGGCAAGGCGCTCTCTGTGGTCTGGGACCACCACCTGACTATCTCCGTGGTGCTGAAGCAGACATACCAGGTCAGTGGCCTTCCTCCACTCTTCCTCATCTTGTCTGTGACTTGCTATTGGTTTTCTTCAGTTTCCTGAGTAGTAGGAAGTAGACACTGTGCCTCCTGATGTCTCAGGGGAAGGTAGGCGGTCTGAAAAGGGGATGCATGAGCAGAATCTTCAGAAAAGGGAGGGAGTGAGCCATGCAGACATCTGGATGAGAGAATTTAGGCACGTGCAAAGGCTGCAGGGTGGATGACGTTTGGAGTGTTTGAGCAAGGATGCCTGTGGCTGGAGCGGAGGGACTTGGGGAGAATTGTCGTTAACAAGGGTAGGGAGGAGGCAGGGATCATACTGTGGGGGCTGTTAAGCCATGTAAAGATCTTGGGCCTTTTGTCCCAACTCTGGGAACATTCTTATTTGTTTCCCAGTAATTCTCCATGTTGAATCAAAATAGGAATAAGTCACATCTCTGTCCCAAGACAGGGCTCCAACTATGTTGTAAGAGTAGTATCTTTTCTTTTCCAGGCCAAATATTTCCAGTTCCTCCCCTAGTTCTTATGTGATGGTTTCCATTCATTCAGTAATCACTTATTGGGACGTGTATACCAACACTGTGATAGGTGAACATGAAGATGAATAAAATCTTATGTCAGCCCTGGTGGCACTTGGTATACATCAGAACCCTGGCCAGCCTGCTATGAACAGGCTGCTGTTTACCCAGGCAAAGGACTCCCGTGTCCATAGTGTAAAGTAGTCAGACCTCTGCACTCTCATTGATGCAACGATGAACTAGCTCCTCTCTCTGCCCAGGCCCTTACTGGGGAGGGTGATGGCTTATATTGGAGATTCCAGAGCCAAGACTGCCTAATTCCCACTTGTGCACTTGGCCAACTACAAGACATGTGCAGGTTGTCTCTCTTTGTGAATGATTTTTTCTTTTAACTTTAAAATGAGGTCAGTGAGGAAGGCCAGGAAAAGGCCTTGGCAAGGGCCAGGCTTTGCCGATTACTCTGGTCTCTTCTGGGTCTCCATCCCTGCCTCCCCCCACCCTCCTCTTCTCAGATGAGCGGCCTCCTTTGCTGTCTGGAGCCCTCCTTGCCCTGAGTCAGAATTGGCCCTGAGGTTTGCAATGCTCATGCTCTCAACTTGTCATCAGGAGCAGGTGTGTGGCCTCTGTGGGAATTTCGACGGCGTCCAGAACAATGACTTTACCGGCAGCAATCTCCAAGTTGAGGAAGACCCCGTGGACTTTGGGAATTCCTGGAAAGTGAGCCCGCAGTGTGCTGACACCAGGAAAGTACGTTTGGGGTCTCCTTATGGGCTGCGGGTGGTGGGTGGGGGGTGGTATGCCCTGCAGTGGTTGCAGGGCTTGGAAGAGGGTCTCTTGGATCCTTCCGGGTTGACTGTTTTGGTCTATTTCTGTTCTCTCGCCCTGTTCCCCAGGTGCCGCTGGACTCGTCCCCTGCCACCTGCCACAACAACATCATGAAGCAGAGCATGGTGGACTCCTCCTGTAGGATTCTCACCAGTGACCTTTTCCAGGACTGCAACAAGCTGGTGAGGGCTGCCGGGGAGCCAGAGGCAGAGGAGCGCTGAGGGCTGGCCAGTGGCTCGGGCACTCAGAGCACGAGTGTCTAATTCTGGACCCAGCCTGGGAGCCTTTGAAATGATCTGCATGGGGTCACCTTTATTTCGCCCTTCATTGTCGCAAACTGGGAAACAGAAAGGATAATCAACAGTTTATGGGGAAAGCAACTCCTGGCAAGTCATGTTTCTTCTATGCCAGGCCCCGCTCTTCTGGGCATCAGTTGTAGAGCTTGTGCCCCCTGAGTTATCTTGTCTCCAACACTAGAGCCAGGAATTTTGTTTTGCTGTTACCTCACTATATCTTCAGACCTGAGTACTCTATCTTCTCCCCTCGTAAAACCCTACAGCTCCTAGGTCTTGTCTCAAAAACCCTTTTCTGGTCTTAGCTCCAGAAAAGGGTGTTGAGGCCTCATTTTATGGCTTGCTTTTGTGTCTTCCTCTCCAATGGTGGTAAGCAATTCCCCAAACACACACATGCTGCTGTGTTGCACCACCACTGGGGGCATGACTGGTTGGATACCTGTATCTCAGTTCTCTTTCTATCCATCCAATGATTTTTAGTCCTCGAGGACGCCAAAGATACTCAGGATTCCCTGCTTTGGTGGAATTCCTGGGCATCTGAATGGGAACAGTGGAGGCAGTGAGAGAAGTCAGGGGAACCGGGATTGTCGGAGGGTGTTGGAAATAATGACCCACTCAGTCTCTGAATTCATTCCTTTCACAGTGACCCTGAAAGAGGCCAGTGTGTGTAGTGGCATGTTTGGGGGAAGGGAAGGTCAGCCCGATTCCTGTGATTGAATGTGGATGGTGGATAGGCTACCTCTTCATGTAGACCTGTGGTCAGTCCAGGAGTACACAGGCTGGTCCTACTATCCAGCATACTAGTCCCATAACACCTCATAGGGCAATGTGAGTGGGTCCTGATGTATTTCCTCTCTCTTCTTGCTGAATGGAGGCAAAGGAAATAGAGTGAGCAGTGTGTGTGTGTGTGTGTGTGTGTGTGTGTGTGTGTGTGTGTGATGTGTCTATGTAAAAAACACTCAAACATCCATGAGGTTGGGAGTCGGTTTTGGGGATGGATGGATTATTGAGCAGATAAGTGGACAGATAGAAACAAATGTTCTTTTGAAAAATTCTTAGACACACCATTCTATGAAAGACTGGCTTTACGTAATGTTTCTTGCTGGAATACAGATTAGAAGCTGGAAATTCTGCCTTCTTACCCATCCCCTCTTTGGAAGCATTGACCTACATTTCCCCTCATACTCTGGACCCCCCTTTCCCGTACTCTGACCACCAGAATGTTCCCATACAGACCAAGAGCCAGAGTGCCTTTGTCTGGTCGCAGGCCTGGGCTATCCTGGTGCTCCCTTACAGGTGGACCCCGAGCCATTCCTGGATGTTTGTATCTATGACACCTGCTCCTGTGAGTCTATTGGGGACTGTGCCTGCTTCTGCGACACCATTGCTGCCTATGCTCATGTGTGTGCCCAGCACGGCAAGGTGGTGAACTGGAGGACAGCTACGTTGTGTCGTGAGTCCTGGTGTCCCTCAGGGTCTCAATCACCCTCCCCTCAACTCTTGTGCATCTAGACATTAAGACCTTAAAGTGGGTGCAGGATGACACCTTCATGGGAGAGAAGGCAGAGCTCTAGTGTGGGGATGGATGGCAGAGGGCAGAAGGGAGTTAAGACACTGATGTGAGTGAGGAGGGACAGGGGACAGGGATCAAAGACATTAATATGTAGAGACCCTTACTCTGGAGAAATTCTGGAAGAGGGAACAGTGATGAAAAGAAGAGGGAAGTGAATATATGTCTTTAACTAGACACTATATTTGCCAATATGAGCGATCAACTCATACATTTATGGAGGGTCTTCCTCGGGTGTAAGCAGCTGATGGTTTCTATATGGAAAACCGATTCAGAACCACTGAGTTCCTGGTTTAGGTGCTTTACAAGTCCAGCAGCCTCTAATATTGGTGACTCCTGTAGTTCCTTTGTCCCCAGTGTTCTCGTCACCTCCCCCAGCGCCATCACCACCACCACTGGTCTCACCACATCTGTTTGGGGCCTGGCTGCAGTCCTGGCATCTCAGTGGGCACAGGACTGCCTATGCTTCAATGGTTACGCTCATTTCTTGTCTACACAGCCCAGAACTGTGAGGAGAGGAATATCCGGGAGAATGGGTACGAGTGTGAGTGGCGCTACAACAGCTGTGCCCCTGCCTGTCCCATCACGTGCCAGCACCCCGAGCCACTGGCCTGCCCCGTGCAGTGTGTGGAGGGCTGCCATGCACACTGCCCTCCAGGTCAGCCACCTGCCCTGTGTGGGGGCGGATGGAGGGATGGGACAGTTTGTCAGGAAAGGTGATTCCTTGTCCTACGTCATCTCAACCTTGCCCAGTGGTGCCCGATCCCCAACCCTATAACCCCGGGTCCTGTTTGCACGTGTCCTTCCATCGGAGCCAGGCCAGCTATGATTTTTGTCAAGTTGAGCTTCTGTTTGCTTATTTACGGGTCTATTGCATGGAGCAGCATTTTCTTTAAAAAAGTGTTTTAATTGATTTTTAGAGAGAGAGGAAGGGAGAGGGATATATAGAGAGAAACAGCATTGATTGGCTGCCTCCTGCATGCCCCCTTCCAGGGATTTAGCCCACAACCTAGGCCACCTTTAGTTAAAGGTAAGTTTTCCTTGTTGTAAAGGTGAGTTTGGGCTCCTGATGAGAGGTTTGTCATGCAGGAAAAATCCTGGACGAGCTTTTGCAGACCTGTGTTGACCCCAGAGACTGCCCCGTGTGCGAGGTGTCTGGCCGGCGCCTGCCCCCCGGAAAGAAAGTCACCTTGAACCCCGGCGATCCTGAGCACTGCCAGATTTGGTAAAACCTGGTTGTTTGAAGCATGAGTCTTACTGTCTACTCTGGGGACCTGCTCAGAGGTGTAGGTTTTGGGAAAATGCCCTCGCTATGCAAGTTGAAAGGTAGTTTTTGTTTAGCTTGTTTTTCTTGCTTTAAGGACAGACTAGATTGCTTCTCCAGAAAACATCTCTTAAGAGAACCATTAGGCTTTTTCTTCTTTTTTATTTTATTAATCCTCACCCAAGGATATTTTCTCCATTGATTTTTAGAGAGAGTAGAAGGGTGGGGGAGAGACATAGAGAGAAACATTGATGTGAGAGAGACACACATCGATTGGTTGCCTCCTGCACTTGCCCTGACGTGCCAGGGATCAAACCTGCAACCCAGGTATGTGCCATTGACCAGAATTGAACCCAGGACCCTTCAGTCCTCAGGCTGATGCTCCAACCACTGAGAAAAACTGGCTAAAGTCCATTAGACTTCTTAACCTCTTCTTGCTGGAGGATGGGTGAAGTCTCACATTGTTCCTGGAGGTCACATCTAGTCTATGAAAGTCAGGCTTCCTTTTTTTATTGGAGATGGGGATGCAGAGAAAGAAAGTGAGGCAGAGCCCTGACCCCTCAGTGTGACTTAGACACCTCCGGGCCACAACCCAGTCCCAGGACAGGGCTTTTGTAACTGGGAGGGAAGACACTGGGTTTTCTCACTCGACTGCCTCTGGGAGTGGGGGAGCTTGGGGAGGTGAGAACGAGTCCCCAGGGTGAGCACTGAGCTTTATGAAGTCCTGCTCCTAAGTAACGAACATGCATTTGGATGTTGATATATTCATATATTCAATACCACTTCTTATGGGAACTTAAACTTGAGAACTTAAATTCACTGGGGAAGGGGCCATGGCTACAGCTGCCAGAGTCAGATCCAGCCACAGCCATCTGTATAAACATGAGTGAACACTGCCCGGGGTGAGTTCTCTAGCAAACACAGGAAACTAGAAAGTATGTCACTCATGTACTGTTAGCAAAGATGGAAGCAATAAATCGTGTGGGCCACAAGGAAGTGGGAATTAACTTCCCGGTAAGACCCTGCCTATCCACTCGCTCTCTGCTGACACGGAGACTAAGGAATAAAGGAAGGGCCCGACGCTGGCATGGGGCTCTGAGCCATAGGACATGAGTGTAGAGCCATTTCCCCACCGCTCTCTGCTGGCCACAGGGAGGGCAGCTACCAGGGGCAAACAGGTGTGGACAGTAGTTCCAAAGCTGGAGCATCGCCTGGGAAGTGAGCCACAGGGCACACATCCCAGGGCTCTTGGCCTTACTGGGAGTGCTGAGGGCAAGTTACCTCAAAGGCCAAGAGTTTACAGAAGAGAAGGTACTAGCCTGGGTTGCATCTACAGTCTGGCATAGCCTGCCACTCTCCAGGACACTGGTGGAAGGGAGAAGGGGCCAGAAGGGCCGGGAAATTTGGACTGGTAGTGTAGGAATGTGTGTCAGGGGCAACTGCTCTGCTAAAGACTCGTGGTATGTGCTTGGGGCTGGGTGCAGGGTCTAGCCAGTTCCTGGCATGTGATAGGTGCTTCCATATGTTTCCTGGAGGATTGAATGAATGAGCCACTGACTTTCCCCCGTCAAACATCTTGGGGACATATTAAACATGGTCCAAAATTCATCCAGTTTAAATCCTGTTATAATGAACTAGAGGTCCAGTGCCCAGATTTGTGCAATGGTGGGGTCCCTTGGCCTGGCCTGCACCCTCTCCCAATCCGGGACCCCTCGGGGGATGTCCGACTGCTGGTTTCAGCCCGATCCCCGCAGGCCAGGCCGAAGGACCCCATCGGTGCATGGATCCATGCACCGGGCCTCTAGTATGCATATAAGATCTTTGGTTAATCTCTTCCTGCCCTCCCCTCTCCCCGCTTCCCTCTGAGATTCATCAGTCTGTTCTATGTTTCCATGCCTGTGCATTGAGCATCTGCCCCCTGGTGGTCAGTGCACATCATAGCTACCAGTTGAACGGTCTAAAGGTCGCTTATGCTTATATATATGGTAGATACTGTAAAGCATTTATATTCAGTAGTACAGTCATGAGTCCTGGTCAGTGTCAACATTTTAGAGTAATATTTGTCTTTGGAGTTATTTGGCAGAAGGTTTGGGTTGTAATTAAATATTTGAATTGCTTAGAGATGTAGTTTGATAAAAAAAAAAATCTTCTTTCAATGGCTGTGTGGATGGCCTGAAAACAAGAAAGATTCTTTTTCAGGTCCTGGTAAAGTTTGGCTTGTAGAATCCAGGGAAGCCTTTGGTGTGTGTGTGTGTGTGTGTGTGTGTGTGTGTGTGTGTGTTAGGGGACGTATGTTAAAAATGATGTCTCTCTTGGGTGGAGAGTGACCCATGGGAGCTCAGTGCAGGTGGGCCAGGCAGGCAGGTGTATGGAAACAGGAGCAGCGGTTCTGAGTAGGGCTGAGAAGCGCTCAGAGCCTCTTCCGGAACCATTTCTCTTTCTCTCCCTCTACAGTCACTGTGATGGTGTCAACCTCACCTGTGAAGCTTGCAGGGAACCTGAAGGCCTAGAGGTGCCCCCCACGGAAGGCCCGGTCAGCCCCACCACCCCGTATGTGGAGGACACCCCCGAGCCGCCGCTGCACGACTTCTTCTGCAGCAAGCTGCTGGACCTGGTCTTCCTGCTGGACGGCTCCTCCAAGCTGTCCCCGGCCGAGTTCGAGGTGCTGAAGGTCTTTGTGGTGGACATGATGGAGCGCCTGCACATCTCCCAGAAGCGGATCCGCGTGGCGCTGGTGGAGTACCACGAGGGCTCCCACGCCTATATCCAGCTCAGGGACCGGAAGCGGCCCTCGGAGATGCGGCGCCTCGCCAGCCAGGTGAAGTACGCAGGCAGCGCAGTGGCCTCCACCAGCGAGGTCCTCAAGTACACGCTGTTCCAAATCTTCGGCAAGATCGACCGCCCCGAGGCCTCCCGCATCGCCCTGCTCCTGACGGCCAGCCAGGAGCCCCAGAAGTTGGGCCGGAACTTGGTCCGCTACGTCCAGGGCCTGAAGAAGAAGAAGGTCATCGTGGTCCCGGTGGGCATCGGGCCGCACGCCAACCTCAAGCAGATCCGCCTCATCGAGAAGCAGGCCCCCGAGAACAAGGCGTTTGTGCTCAGCAGCGTGGACGAGCTGGAGCAGCAAAGGGACGAGATTATCAACTACCTCTGTGACCTCGCGCCCGAGGCGCCGGCCCCGACTCAGCCCCCTCCTATGGCCCAAGTCACCGTGGGTCCGGAGCACTTGGGGGTTTCGACGCTGGGGCCCAAGAGGAACTCCATGGTTCTGGATGTGGTGTTTGTTCTGGAAGGGTCGGACCAAATCGGCGAGGCCAACTTCAACAGGAGCAAGGAGTTCCTGGAGGCGGTGATCCGGCGGATGGAGGTGGGCCAGGAGAGCATCCACGTCACGGTGCTGCAATACTCGTACACGGTGACCGTGGAGACCACCTTCCGCGAGACACAGTCCAAGCAGGACGTCCTGCAGCGGGTGCGGGAGATCCGCTACCAGGGCGGCAACAGCACCAACACGGGGCTGGCCCTGCAGTACGTGTCGGAGCACACCTTCTCGGCCAGCCTGGGGGACAGGGAGCAGGCACCTAACCTGGTCTACATGGTCACCGCGAACCCCGCCTCTGATGTGATCAAGCGGATGCCTGGTGACATCCAGGTGGTGCCCATCGGCGTGGGCCCTCATGCCAACGTGCCGGAGCTGGAGAGGATTGGCTGGCCCAATGAGCCCATCCTCATCCAGGACTTCGAGACGCTCCCCCGAGAGGCCCCTGACTTGGTGTTGCAGAGGTGCTGCTCCGGAGAGGGGCTGCAGATCCCCACCCTCTCCCCCGCCCCAGGTACGTGGGCACCTTGCATAGGTGCCATGCCTTGGTGGAGAGATGCCTCTTGGGTTCCAATCCCGCCTCCCTTGCTCTGTGCCTTCGGTCACATCCACCTCCAGAGTGCCTGTGTCCTCACCTCCCAGGCAGGGAGAGGCGTCTGTGATCCTTTATTGAGGAGGATCTGTTCTTGTGCATTCAAAGGTAATGCAAGTCTATTGTTAAAGTTTAAATAATACCAAATATAGGGAGTGGAAAATATTTATTCATCACACTGCCTCATCCTACCTAACCCCACTCCCTGCCTTGGAGGTAACCTGTGACATTTGGTGATGACCAGCTTTTTGACCACACTGGATGGATGCAATTATTCTAAGTAGCTGACACTCTTTGGGGGCAAGGCCAAGAAATGGTGACAGGTAGCAGTTAAGTGCTCAGATTCTGTAGCCGGACTGCCTTGGTTTGAATCTCACCTCTGCCACTTACTAGCTGGGCAATTATGGCAATTTTGGGGGTAATAATTTTGGGCAGGTACCTCTGTGAGTATCTGTCTCCTCATCTGTAAAATGGGGATAATAATAGTACTTTTTTTGAAATATGTTTAGAACAGTTCCCAGCACACAGCAAGTGCTTGCCACTCTGCTACGATTACTGCCTTCAGAATGGATACTAATGTCTAATCAATTCCTAGTTCTTGAACATCCTTATTTGGCGTGTCTGGGACCATCCCAGAGTAACTAGCCTTCTTTTAATGTCTCTTTATCCTCCCACTTTGACTCAGTGCCTTTGTTTCTTTGTTCTTGTTTTAATCAGAGCCACAGATTTATTGAAATTCTTGTGATATTTCTGTGAAGAACAGGAATAGCGTCACCGTACCCAGTCTCAGAATGGTGTTTAGGCCAGAGTTTGCTTCCTCACTATGATCTGTGCCAGAGCAGTCACAGGAGCAGTAGGATTTAGAGTCAGAATACCTTACAGCACTTACCTACCCATAAGACTGAGGCCATACTGCTGCTCCATTTCCTTTTGCCATCTCCCCGTTTTGCTGCTCTAATATCTCACTCAATTCTGGAAGAGTTGCAGCCTCCTGTTACTGTGAGAACAGATGCCTCTTGCTTTCATGGGGAGGCATTTAAACTGGCTTTGAGTGGCACTGGAGTCTTCCCAATGCCTCCAAGCTTGGGGCACTCCTGGACCCCTTACCTCCTCCCAGGCTCATCTTGCCATCCTGCAGGACCAATGGTGACACATCCTTTGATGGTGCCACGTGGTTGGTGGTGCCCCACACCTGCCCATTGAATGCAGCTGTGTGCTGCAGTGGCCGGTCCTCTGCTGGGACTGTGTGCTCACCTTCCTGTCTCTCTGCAGACTGCAGCCAGCCCCTGGATGTGATCCTCCTCCTGGACGGCTCCTCTGGCTTTCCAGCTTCTTACTTTGATGAAATGAAGAGTTTTGCCAAGGCTTTCATTTCAAAAGCCAATATCGGTGAGTGAGGCGCCTGAAGGAGCAGGTTAGAAAGGGGCTCTTCCTGGCGCTCTGCTTGCTCGAAAGAGCCATTCCGTGTCCTCTTTCCGCCAGGGCCTCAGCTCACGCACGTGTCCGTGCTGCAGTACGGGAGCATCACCACCGTCGATGTGCCCTGGAACGTGGCCCAGGAGAAGACCCAGTTGCTGGGCCTCGTGGACCAAATGCAGCAGGAGGGAGGCCCCAGCCAAATTGGTAACGTAGTGCCATGGACTGGGATGCAGGGGCTGCGTCTGGTCCTCATTCTTGGCATAAGTGAGGAGTGACCTTGGCCAGTCACTTTGGTTTTGGCCTCAGTTTTCTTTGCTGTAAAGGGAGGGCCTAGATGCTCTTTCCGGTCTCATCTGGATCTCACTTGTGTGCGGGACTCCCTGAGTCTCTGAATCATTCCACTTTGGTGGCCTAAGGATCCACCTGGAGACAGGATGCCCAGTTGGCTTCAGAAACGCCTCCCCTGCAGCCAAGACTCACTTGTGTGGTCTGTTCTCCACTCTCAGGGGATGCTCTGGGCTTTGCTGTGCGATACATCACGTCGGAAGGCCATGGTGCCAGGCCGGGCGCCTCTAAGGCGGTGGTCATCCTGGTCATGGGCGCCTCCACAGACTCCGTGGCTGCAGCTGCCGAGGCCGCCAGATCCAACCGTAAGTGTCCAGTGTCCAGTGTCCACTCTGAGACTGTGCTAAATTGCCCGAGGACCGAAAGTGGGAAGGTGTTACTTCCAGATGTCCCGGCTGATTTAAATGCTCCTGCATGTGGCCTGGTTTCAAGCAGCAGGAAATCATCCAATCCCTGTGCTATTTGGAAACCAAGTAGTAATAAGTGTGTGTTAACCCTCCATTTGTCTGCATTCTTTAGATTTTTTACCTTTAATTTTCACTTTGTGTCCAGGAATGGGTCATAGCTCACACTTTTTTTTTTGAAGTGGTATCCTTGGTCTCTTACCACCCTCTCCATGTCTGAAGCCAGAGGGATTCATATGGGGCCTTGAGAACCATTGTGGAACTTCCTGTATTCAGAGCCCTTTTCTAGTACCAGCCTGATGGGTTTGGGGGATGAGTAATGGAAAGAGACAAAGGCTGCTGCTTTAGGGAGGGGATGAAACAAGTGTGACCCAGCCTGGGTGTCCCATAACAACTTGTTCTGTGAATATCAACAGAATGTGAGCCCGGACAGGTGGTGTGGTGCTGAGGGAGGGCCAGGTGATGGAATGGCACTAAGTCCTCTCATGGCCACCTGTGAATGTCCAGTCTGGAAAACATGAGGCTCTATACAGATACAGGGAGTAGCTTCAGGCCAGTCCACTTTGTGCCCACCTGACCAAAGCAGGTTGGCAGAGACCCTTTCTTGTACCTCTGCTCACTCAGGAGTGACAGTGTTCCCTATCGGAATCGGGGATCGGTATGACCCAGCCCAGCTGAAGATCTTAGCAGGCCCAGGCGCCAGCTCCAACGTGGTGAAGCTCCAGCACATCGAAGACCTCCCTACCATAGTCACCCTGGGCAATTCCTTCCTCCACAAGCTGTGCTCTGGTGAGTCTGGTAATATCTTTCTTCCCCCCACTCTCAAAAAATAAAAACAAAAGCAACAAAGCCCATTTCAGAGACCCGAGGGTGCTCAGGCACAAGATGTTGGTCTTGAAGGAAGATTGTTTTATAGACCAGGACCTTTAAGTTTCTGCTCATGAAAAGTGTGCACTATGAATCTCCAAGGGGCTACCAGACAGCTCGCTGGGTAGAGCCCTCTTTCCTGTTCTAACTGCCCATCCAAACTTTAGCAGAAAAAGCCCATGCTCAGTTGTGCACAGGGATCTTGGATAAAGGAGTAGAAAATAGAACAGGGAACCTCAGCATCCTGTAGATCATGGTCTTCTTCCTCCTGCCCTAGACTCACTCTCAGCAAGAATATATGGGCCTTTAGAAACACAGTAACATAGCATCTAATATCAAAGTACCATAGTTTAAGTTGACGTAAGATTAGAAACCTTCTTTTAACCACATATGATTTATTTGACCTGATTTAATATGCATTCCTAATGTAATTAGTGGTGAGTCAAAACCTACTACAGAATTATTGCCCTTTCCTCCTGGTAGGAATTTTCAGGATTCTTTTCAAGTGTTGAGGATCTTGCCTCATTTCCTCCCTACTCCCCCCACTGGCACTGACCTATGAAAGAGGGAAAGGAGATACTGACTTTGAAAAAGCTTTATGAACCATCGTTATTGCTGTGTTATCACTATTGCTATCATCACTATTAGAAATAACCACAAAGCCTGCCTGAAGAAGCATGGGATGCCGCCTCTTATCTAGTGTACCCACATCCTCACTGTTAAACCACTCAGATTATTTTCAGAGTTAAGTCAACTTCAAGAACTAGCCCAGGTAGCCCATACAGACATTGTGAATGGCTTAGACTTTCTGGGTGTTGGGTGGGAACTCAGATCTGGTTTGTGTCTGTTTCAGGGTACATTGGAGTTTGCATGGATGAGGATGGAAATGAGAAGAGGGTAAGTTCCCTTATGTTGACCTTGAAAGAAAAATCAGAAATGTATATTTTGGGCCCTTGTTCCTCCTTGTACACTTTTCTTTCCTTATGGTCTTGGTCCAGTTCTTTTTCTTACCATTATATTACGTTCTGTTTCTTTTCTTTTTTGGGGGGGAGGGGATGGGTCCACCTGTGAATCTTGTGTTCTGTCTCCTGTCTCCTTGCCATTTAGGCCTATTGTCGGGGGGGGGGGGGGAGACTCCCTTTTCCGTGTCCTGCATGGGGGGAGAGAGAGAGAGAGAGAGAGAGACATAAACCGGTTCTTTTAAGTAGAGGCGCTTTGGGATTTGAGAAATGAAAAGACAGGACACAAATAGAATAAGTTGGGACCGGGTGTGGCGTCTGCCCTCTGATAGAGGGACAGACAGACGCGCAGCACCAGAAATAAATTTAATATATATTAAAGGTAACGGGAAGTTACATCACATCTGGGTGGGCCTTGAGTTCCTGGCAACATAATAGGACCCACCCCCCCTTAGCACCTGGCGGGAAAAGTCAGAATGAGTGGCGTCCTAGCCTCTTGATTAGGACCACCCCAGGGCATGGCTCTGCCTGAGCTCTGAGTTCAGCTGACATATTTAAAAAATGCCGAGAAAGTGATTGCCAGCAGCCCTCCACAGCCTATGTCCAGGTTTTAGTCTCTATGTCCTCAGAGGGTCTTGGCCTGGTAGATGGGCTTAGAGTTGGAGCACCTCATCCTATGTTCTGCCTAAATCTGGTTCTTTCTTTTGCAGCCTGGGGATGTCTGGACCTTGCCAGACCAGTGCCACACAGTGACATGCCTGCCGGATGGCCAGACCTTGCTGAATAGTCATCGGGTCAACTGTGAACGGGGGCCAAAGCCTTCATGCCCCAACAGCCAGTCCCCTGTCAGAGTGGAAGAGACCTGTGGCTGCCGCTGGACCTGCCCCTGTGAGTCCTTTGCTTCTCCAGCCTAGACAGTGCTAAAGGGGCAGTGCTTTTAGCTGGGCTGTGCAGAAAGGTAGACTAGAAGCTAAGCAACCTCACTCCTCACCACACACATGCACAGTGCTATCTTTACCCATGTTCACACCCTATCATATCCTCTGGACAGGTTTCCATTCAGTCCCGGGGATCCCTGTTTTCTTCCTGTGTCTTTGTTTTTATTTGTTTCTTTGTTTGTTTTTGTTAATCCTCACCTGAGAATATTTTCTTATTGATTTTAGATTGAGTAGAAGAGAATAAGGGAGGGAGAAGGGAGAGAGAGAGAGAGAGAGAGAGAGAGAGAGAGAGAGAAGCGATGTGAGAGAGACACATCAATCGGTTGCCTCCTACACACACCCTGAATGGGGCTGGGATTGAATTTGCAACCCAGGTATGCAAATTGATCGTGATCTTTTGGTGCAAGGCCAACACTCTAACCACTGAGCAACACCGGCTAGGGCTCTTCCTATGTTTTTGTAGGGCACGTATGGTGGACAGGGACATTTTCATTCACTTGCCAAGTGTGAGCTCACACCATTTCTTTACCTTGTGACTTATTACATTCTCCTAGAAGTTGGGGCTGGATTCCTCGACAATATTCATAGCTGGAGTATTTGGGATCCCTTGCAGCATGGATGTCAACAGGCCAGGAGCATTCAGTACGGCCATTTGGAAATGCCTGGCTGCTCAGGGACTTAGGGGAGTTTGAGTGGAAGAAGCTCTTGGAGAGGCTGCTCAGCTCTGACCGATGGTACATCCAGACCCACCACCTGTTAGTGGCTGTGCTGCCTTGGTGTTCAGGTGGAGATTGCCTGTCTGGGAGTGAGGGACGTTAGAGTAGCCTCACTGACTCACTAAACTGCCTCTAAGTTCTTTCTTGGGCTTTTATTTACCCACCACCATAGATGTGATCATGGTTTGTCTGGAAAGCTCACCTCCAACTTCATCTAGGTCCACAGTTAGCTTTCAAATCATGTATGGCAGTGGTGCCTTCCATGGGGGGATTTTCACGGAATCCTCTTACATAGATGCAAGATGATTAGTATTCCCAAGTGGTGTTGTAATTGGAACCTTGAGAATTTGTTGATTACATGAGTGAATGAGTGGCAAATGAGGGAGTGCTGAGACCCAACCGTTTGTTTTGGCTTTGGAAGTATTTCTTGTGTGCGATCTCTTAAGGGATCAAGTCAACATGGCCACTTGTACTGTTAGTCACTTGGCAGCTGAAAGGACACACGTGTTTTTAGGTGAACTTTCTTTACAGTGAGATCGTGAGCTCATGCCTTGCTTAGCTCCTCATGATTTCAATGAGTCATAGCACCCCTAGAACTTAACTTTGTTTCTTGGGCCAAGGCAGAGTAGAGCATTCACTTCGCACGTTACAATTTTTTTTTTTTTGGAAATATGGTTCTACAATTTGCCACATTTTTTTTTAATGTAATGCTTGTTCTTGTAAGCTTTCTCTAGGAAAAGATTTAATGACCATGTGTTACTTACCTGAGGCACTCTACCTCTCAGAATCTCAGATTCCTAATCTATAAAAAGGAGGAAATGAAACTATAGGACTTCAAAGGGCCCGTTCAGCTCTCAACTCTGTTTATCTGTGTGCACTTTGGTAACACTGCCTCTTTGTGTGGCTGGGAGTTTGGATAATGTCACATCCCTCATTTGCTGTCCCCTGTCCAGGTGTGTGCATGGGCAGCTCTACCCGGCACATCGTGACCTTTGATGGGCAGAATTTCAAGCTGACGGGCAGCTGTTCGTATGTTCTATTTCAAAACAAGGAGCAGGACCTGGAGCTGATTCTCCATAATGGTGCATGCAGCCCTGGGGCGAGGCAGGCATGCATGAAGTCCATTGAGGTGAAACATAACGGCCTCTCGGTTGAGCTCCACAGCGACATGGAGGTGAGGTGCCTTTTGTGGGTCCCATGGCAAGGCAGCCACATGACATGGTGGCAGTTGGTTTTAGCTGGCACTCCTATTAGAGACGCAGCCTTCTGCCTAACTAGCAGAGTACCACCTTCTTTGGAGGGGCTTTTTGCCATCTCCCTTGTTTTGGTGTGATTTCATGTTGTTCTGGGCCCAGATTTGGTACCAATTTTAGGTAGCATTAAATTGTGAAGGTAGTGCCAGATTCTGGCACTGGTAGAAAATTGGGGTTGACAGCAGTACTGTTTACCCAGCAGGCATTATGAGCCCAGTGCCTCGGGCTTGTCAGCTTTCCAAAAGAAACTATTTAGTGCCTAAATTAGGGCATTTGGAAATATGTAGGGCCTCAAGAAAATGTATGGCTCCAAAATTCAAAAAGAAAACTGCAAAACCAGTTTAAATAAATGTTTGGTTAAATGCTTACTAAAGGTTATATTATGCCAATTTCTTTACTTGTTCATTTAGAAATCATAAATATTTCATTATGTGAAAACAACTTATAGGTTAGATCTCATTTTGCAAGAATTCTTGAATATGCACAGCAATCGCTGAAAAATCAGAGCTAGTCATATATTAAATGAGTAACTCACAGCCAAAATTTTAAAATTAGAAAGGAGAAAAAGCCTTCCAAAAACGTTTACAACAAAAATAATATCGTGAGATGTGAATATATTGAATATGTTTGATATGCTATGAGATGGGGCCTCCAAAGAGCTCCTAATGACTCTCCCCCACAAAACCAAACCAAACCAAACCAAACCAAACCAAACAAAAAACTTAAAATAGTCCTGTTAGTTGTTCCTGGAGACACTGATGAGCTGGCAAAATGGCAACTTTCCCACCCTATCCTGAAGGGGTTGTCCTCCCGTGTGGAGCACACAGAGACTCAAAGTTCAAGGTGCTTCAACCGCTGGGCTTTCAGGTTCCAGGTTCATGGGTCTCTGTACAGTATTATAATAGTCTGTTTTCATGCCAAGCTCTTCAAAACTCCTTTATGTTAGAAGAGCTGCTGATAAACATCAGGGTTTGTGGATAACCCTGGAATTGAGTGTGGTGAATGTTGGAGACTGCTAGTAACTTCAGGAAGAAGCTAAGAGTGAAATTTTAGGATTCCTTATTACTGTGACAACTGATGGGTTATTTTCTTCTTTGGGCAGGTGGGGGTGAATGGGATTCTGGTCTCTGTCCCTTACATGGGTGGGGACATGGAAGTCAACATCTATGGTGCCATCATGTATGAGATCAGATTCAATCATCTTGGCCACATCTTCACATTCACTCCACAAAACAACGAGTTCCAGCTGCAACTCAGCCCCAAGACCTTTGCTTCAAAGATGTATGGTCTCTGTGGTAAGAACATCTTGAACTCTCCCTCCTTTTATATTTGTAAACCTTCCTTGCTCTACTCTCAGGACTCTTGGATGCTTGTATTTCTGGGTCCAGTAGCAAGTTTCAGATGCTGGTGGGGATGGAGAATGGCCAGGTCTCTGGCATCAATATGCCGGCGCCCACAGCTACCAACCTTGTCTTTCTTTGTTTCTCTAGGGATCTGTGATGAGAATGGGGCCAATGACTTTATGCTGAGGGATGGCACGGTCACCACAGACTGGAAAAGGCTCGTCCAGGATTGGACTGTGCAGCAGCCGGGGAAGACATGCCAACCTGTTCCCGAGGAGGAGTGTCCCATCTCCAGCACCTCCCACTGCCAGGTCCTCCTCTCTGCACTGTTTGCTGAGTGCCACAAGGTCTTTGCTCCAGCCACATTTTATGCCATGTGCCAGCAGGACAGTTGCCACCTGGAGCAAGTGTGTGAGGCGATCGCCTCTTATGCCCACCTCTGTCGGACTAATGGGGTCTGTGTTGACTGGAGGACAACTGATTTCTGTGGTGAGTATCTATATGTACCCCCTAAAATTTGTGAATACCAACTAATTGTGGGCTTTCTCAACTTCTCTGGTACTCAGATTCTTTATCTGGGTAATGAGGATCAAAATCCCGCATTTCTTCTGATCTAGGATTTCAGTTAGTATCAAAGAAGGTGGGAGATGTATAAGTAATTTGAGTGTTGAATTTCTATGTAAATGAAAACATGATCATTTCTATTAGTATTCTAGTGTTCAGACAAATGTGATTTTAATGTGTTAGGCACAGACGGGTACCAGCAAAGTACAGAATAATCAGTCATTTTGAATATAAAGTTCCACCAAACTTTAGCAAAGCCTCCCAGAGTAGGCCATGCCTGAGCAGAATTTTGGAGTGTGAGTGGAATTTTGCCATTTGAATACCAAGAGTTTTCTTAGTTACAGATGCCACAGGGTAGATAGCTCCCCTTCAAGGTTAGCTTCCCTATTTGGACTCGAACTAATATAATCCCTTACTCTTATTTGGTGGGGAGAAAGGAGTAGAGAAATGAATATATATAAGCATCTTGGAGTCTCAGGGTTTATGAGTTTATAATTATACAGCTGTCAGCAACTCTTACATGGGGCTGGAGGACTTGGGCATCCTAGTCGCAGCTCAGCTGCTGATGGGCACCAGTTTCTGCATCTTAGAATGAGACAGTTGGACTAGACAACCCCTAGGTTCCTTTGAGCTCTGGTTTTCTGAGTGCATGTGGCTGGTACTGCCCCCTTTCCATCTGCCTGCAGATCAAAGGGCAAATGTTAGTTTCTGAGTTACCTCTATTACCTTCTCTGCTTAGCTATTTTTTTGGGTCTACCTCCTATTTGTGCATAGAAAAACCCTGGATGCTCAAAATCCTTGGAGACTTTCTCTGCGTTGGCACCATGAGAACCTGAGAAAGGGGCTGAGGAGGGCCAGGGTGGGAGGAATGAATTACCTTGTAGCTTCTCTCCCAAGGCAATTCATCATACCTGTAGATTCCTTACTTCATTTTAAGAGGAGTTTGTAAGCATTAAATATAAATGTATTCAAAAGAAAGAACCATGATACTTCCTAAGGACACACAGGTTTTATAACCAGTTATGATTAAATTTGGCTGCTCTGTCACACAGTGATCAGAGGGAGGTGGCTCCAGCTGTTTCTTAGCCTCCAACTGGATTCTAGCTTTTTGCTCACCCTCACTTGGGTGTGGGTTTTCCTCATAGTTTAAAATGAAGCTCTAGTTATCATATCTAAGTTCTGAGAAGCAGAATGGGTGAAGGATGGACAAGGGAAAAAGGGTATGCATAGTTGTTTTTTTGAAAAAAGATTCCTGGAGGCTGCTATAGGAGTCTACCCTTCTTCTTCCATTCATAGGTCAAAACTTTGACACATGACTACACTTAGTTGCAAAGGAAGTTGGGAAATGTAGTCTTTATTCTGGGTGCCTCTATTTTCCTCTGGTGGGTGTGAGCCATCCAGAGTGACCTCCTTCTCCATCTGCAGCTATGTCCTGCCCACCATCCCTGGTGTACAACCACTGTGAGCATGGCTGCCCCCGGCACTGTGAGGGCAATTCAAGTTCCTGTGGGAACCATCCCTCGGAAGGTTGCTTCTGCCCCTCACACCAAGTCATGCTGGAAGGTAGCTGTGTCCCCGAGGAGGCCTGCACCCACTGTGTCGGTGAGGATGGAGTCCGGCACCAGGTAGGAGCCCTGGTCTTTCACCTCCCATGGGGCTGCTTCTCTCTGGGTTCAGTAGGATGAAGTGTTCACCAGTGATCGGCCCCTTCTAACTTTAGCAGCAGGGGTTGACTCTTAAGGGGGTCATTGAGGGGTAGGGGAACAGTATGACATAGTGGCTTTTGAGTTAGACCTTGGTTCATATCTTGAGTCTGTCATATATTAGCTATGTTACTACTATTGCAACTACTACTTTTATCATATTCATGGAAATAGATGCTATAGGAACCCAAGAGAGGATAGGAAAAGAATATTTTATATGGTAATGTCTACCATTATGATGATATATTATATACCTGGCATTGTACTAACCACTATCTATTCATTATCTCACAATTTTTCAAAGGTGTGTTTTGCAGGATTTAACAGTTACCTGTGGTCAAAAGCATTTAAAGAACACTAGTTAGACAAGTTAAATAGGTTTCTTTATTGTAGGGCTATTTAGAGTTTTTAATGTACTAATGTGTGGCAAGTATTTAAGAGGGTTTTCACTTCTCAAACTTATCTGACCACGGAACTTGTATGTGTGGTGGATGAGTGAATGTGTATGTGCATGTGGACTAAGACTAGTCTCTTGGACTAGGATTCCAAGAACACACTGGATATCTTGCATCATCTCATAAATACAAAACATCTATGAGAAAACTAAGGCTTAGCTTAGGGCACTGCCCATGGACACAGTTTGTAAGTTATGGAGCTGGGTGTTGGACTCATAATTTGAAGCTATGTCTGACTCCAGAGAACTTGCTTGCTCCAATATACAAAATTGCCCTTTTACTAGGTCTTTGTGTGTGTGTGTGTGTGTGTGTGGGGGGGGGCGGAGGGGTTGATTTGTGTGGAAGTCATCAATTCTTTTAGCCTTTTAGGAATTATTGATACATTTTGAAAGGGTCCTCCCCCATCCTAAGATGACAGTCGTATCTCTCCACAACATGTGTGTTTGTCGGATCTGGGGCAGTGTGTGTCTATACACGTGTGAGTGTGTGCTGTGGTTCTGTCCTTCATCCTGGACAGTGATATTACAGAGCATGGTAGAGGGAGGAATACATTTGGCTTCTAGCAAAGGAGAATGTGTTCTATGATCATGTGCTGATCCCCACACCTAACATCTCTGTCATCACCAAGGAGGGCTTTATCACTAAGTGATAGGGTTTGTTGACTTGCCACTATGTTTAATCACCGCTAGGAGAGCTCCTGGGAAGGCCAGCTAACCAAACTGGGGAATGATGAAAGCAACAATTCCAGTAACTGCACTGTTCCTCCCTGACACTGTAAGCCAGGAAATGGACTATTTCATTTGATTCTCCCCAAAGCTCTGTAGAAATGTTATTATATGTCCCACTGAATGGAAGAGGAAACCGAGGCTCAGATGGCACAAGGTGATAAAACTGGCATTCTTATTCACTACACCAGGTCATCCCATAGTGTCCTAGCCTGACATTGATCTCATCAGAACCCTGAGCTAAACTCTGAGCTAACTGGGAGTGCAGGTCAGCACGGGCATCTATTAGGCTGTTACTTGGGTGGCTCCACCTGCTCTGTTTTGTTGTTGGGCTCTATCTCATTTATTTTCACTGTGGGACAGATAAACTCAGAGGGAAGCCCAGTCATACTCTACTGCTGTATTTCAACTTGCCAATTTAAGTGACTTCCTGTACCAGAGTATTCTCCAAACGAGCTGACAGAACCTTACACTGCTCTCCCTGCTTTGCACAGCTCCTGCACTCCTGCTGGGCTCCAGGGATGTGTACCATTCCCAGGTGGGGCTAGCACCCAGTGGCAATTGCAGACTGGTTTTGCTACTGGTGGTAATATACTCTCAGAGGGAGGCAGATGTGGTCTCTCCTCCCTTCCTTCACATCCTGACGAGAAGTCAGCTCAAGTTTGCAAAGTGTCTCTGGCTCTGTGGCCACCAGCTGTCTGCAGGGCGCTGAAAGCAGGAAGCTTGTGAATTTTATTTTAGTGTCTCTACCCCTCTTTTCTCCACTCCTCTCTGGCCCTGTTTCTCCTTTCCCTGCTCCCTCATCTTCAGTGCAACACATCGGGAATATGCATTCACATGGTATAAAGAATGCTTCCAAATAGTGCGCTATTTTTGATATAGAAACCGTCTTATAAAAATATTTTAAAATCAAGTAACATAAAAATGAATTAATTAAAACTATGAAGGGAACACAGCCAGTTGTAGTTATTTCAGAAAATACAGCTTACACAGATGAAAACAAGTATCTTATCCAGCCACCTGCAATTGCAGCTTTTACTTTCAAAGTAGAGTTAAGAAAAAAAAAATCTAATATGAAAAATATTTCCATTAAATGAAAAATTTTAAAATGAAAGATAAAGGCCAGAATTTTTTTCCTTCAGGGAAATAAACCAGGGTATAAATCTCTTGTGGTAACATCGGAAGGGCAAAATATTTACCAGTTTCCATAGCTCTTGTTTAGTTTACAAAGTGCACTGTAAAGACGGGAGCCTTTGTTGCCGGCTCAGAAGGGATCCAGAGCCGTGCTGGCTGTTTCTCTCTCTGTGTTGGGGAGCAGGGGGTGCTGTGCAGAGCAAGTACTGCTTCAGCTCAGCTCAGAAAGAACTGCCTCCATCACCCAGAAGCCTAGTGCCCCTGCCTGGAGCCTCCCTTTCTCTCTGATCTCTGGTGTTCTGTAACCTATACATTTCACTTGCATCTGCTCTTAAATTCTCAGCTGTGGGCTTGTATTCCTTCTGTGACCTTGGGCTTTGAAGACTTCTAGGTTCCCTTGCCGTATTCTCTGTGGGCCATTCTTTTGTCATCTAAATCTTTAACTCCAGCTAGCTCTCATACCTGTTCTCCTGTCTCAGTAATTGTCACATCCTGGCCCTGGAACCTGGGGGGTGAGACAGGGCTGCCTGGAGTTGGCCTGTGCTGATGCAGGAGCGCCATCTGCTGGCCGACTTGCTGCATAACCCGGCATGTTATGCCCCTGTACAGCTGGCTGCTGGCAGTTTTTAGAAGCTTAGCGTTAGCCAGAAAGGGCTTTTCCAGGGGCCCAAGATTCTGTCTCCTGTCTCAGACAGGCCTCCTTAAAGCTACCTGGGAAAATAAAAATCCCCGGAGGAGAAGGTTTAGCACCTGTGTTTGGTCATCTATTGTGTGTTGCCCATTCCCAGGATAGTTGTAGCATTATTTATTCTTAAATTTAGATATCTGAAGTCCACAAAAACAGGCTCTTTAAAAAGCCTCCTTTTTTTAAAAAAAAATATATTTTATTGACTTTTTACAGAGAGGAAGGGAGAGGGATAGAGAGTTAGACACATCGATGAGAGAGAAACATCGATCAGCTGCCCCCCGCACACTCCCTACTGGGGATATGCCCGCAACCAAGGTACATGCCCTTGACCGGAACCGAACCTGGGACCCCTCAGTCCGCAGGCTGACACTCTATCCACTGAGCCAAACCGGTCAGGGCAAAAAAAGCCTCCTTTAAAAGAGAGAAAAACCCCTCAAAACACATAAAAACTATAAGCCTCTTTTTATTTCACCACCTTTGCCATTTAAAAGTTGGGATACCACCCTCCCCTCCCCTCCCCCTCCCCCTCCCCCCTATTTACTGTTTCTTGGCATCACCCAGAGGCCTGAGGGAATGAGCGATGCTTCCCCACCCCGGCCTCTCTGCTCCCACCTCTGAGGCCAGCACCCAGGGCCCCTCTCTGTGTCTTCCTGACCCCCAGAAACACTGGAATAGCAGCCCCTGCAGCCTTTTTTTTGTTTGTTTTTTTGTTTCCTATTCCTAGTCCCTCCCTCTCAGTCCTGCTACCCTCACCATGTTGGCCCTTATTTATCACTCTTCCTGGGAAGCAGGGTCCTGATTATAAAACTCCAGGGCTGCCCCTTGCCCACCAACTTAAGCTCAAGCTCCTCAAGTGGGCAGGGAAGGCCTCTACAATTGTCCACTGACCCACAGGACATTCTCCCCTCTGTTCCACACCCAGAATTCTTTCTCCTCCCCCAGCTTCCCCCCCACCCCCATACTCCACCTTCCACCCTTCACCGGCACGCCTTCAGGAGGCCTCTCTGAGGGCCCCAGCCCTAGTGAACTGCTCTTCTTTGCCCTCCTGTCGCCCTTTTATTTTTCATTCTAAAAATCGCTTTATAGAGATATAGTTTACATATCATAAACAGCAGCTAATAAAGTGTACAGTTTGGTGAGTTTTGACACGTGGGCGCTCCTGTAAAACCACCATCACAACCAGGACAAGGGGCATTTTCATCATTCCCCAAGGTTTCCTTGTGCCCCCTTTAATACGTCCCCTGACCCCCAGCTCCCATCCCCAGGCAACCACTGGTCTGCTTTCTGTCACTATAGATTTGTTTATATTTTCTGGAATTTCATATAAATGGAATCCTGTAGTATATACTACTTTTTTGGCCTGGCTTCTTTCACTCAGCATAACACTGTTGAGATCCACCTGTGTGTGTTTTGTACTTCGATAGTCTGAGTAGCAGTCAGACTATTAATGGCTGAGTAGTATTCCGCAGTGTGGGTGTATCACACTTCATTTATCTCAGGCAGCTTTTCATGCATGACCTTATTTTCTCAAGTTGACTGTATTTATCCGATGTCTGTCACTCCCACAGTCCCAGCAGGGTCAGGCACTGTGACTGCCTGTGAGTGGCAGGTGTAGAACACGTGGTGTCTGGGGCCAGAATGCCAGGTTCAAATCCTGGGTGTGCCACCTGGTCATGTTCCTTCTCTGTGACTCAATTTCATCATTTATACATGAAGATAATAATAGTGCTTGCCTGATAGGGTTATGATAAGGAACATAAAGTGAATAAAGTCCCTAGGAAAAACATCTCGAACATATCTAATGCTAATTATTATCGGGAGGCAGCAGAACATGTTGTTAAAAGGATGGATTCGGGGTTCAAACCCTACCTCTGCTGGTTCGACCCCAGGACTGCAAGTGCCTCAACTTTCTTGTTTGATAAGTGGAGATAATAACAAAAATATCCTCACGACAAAGTTGTAGTGAGGGTGGGGGAACTGACTTCCATTTACTCCAGGGCTTTCTGCCCTAATGTCCCGCACCCCTTCTGAACCTTGTTTTCTCTCAGTTCCTGGAAACCTGGGTCCCAGACCACCAGCCCTGCCAGATCTGCACGTGCCTCAGTGGGCGGAAGGTCAACTGCACCTCGCACCCCTGCCCCACGGTCAGAGGTGAGCTCACCCTTCCTGGGGCACCCTCCAGGCCCTGCAGCCACCAGATCCACATGTGGATTTCCTGGGCCTGGCCTGTTTCCCAGGCCAGCCCACCCTTCCTTACCTCTCTGGGATGGGGTTCCCCTTGTCCCACACCTGGAATAGCCGCTCTCAGAGCTTAATCCTGCTCTCCTGTCCCACCCTGGCCCTCAGACTGGAGTCTCCTGTAGAGCACATTCAGGGGTCAACAGCCTCATTCTCAGAAATCCCACAGCCTGATACTTCATGGCCTCCCATGTAGGGCCTGTGCTGGTTTCTGTGGATGATAGTCTGCTATATATATATATATATATATATATATATATATATATATATATATATATGTATTACTAGATGACTGGTGCACAAAATTCATGCACGGGTAAGATCCCTAGGCCTGGCCGGCAATCAGGGCCTATCAGGGCCTTCTGGCTGCCGGCTGGGGCCTTCCTTTGTTTTGTTCCGCCCCCTGATGGTCAGCCCACATCATAGTGAGCGATCGAACTCCTGGTCTCCTAATTGAACTCCTGAGGACACTTTGCATATTAGCCTTATATATATATAGATTGTTGACACTATTACAAATGTCCCTCATCCTCCCCACTTTTGCCCACCTCCACCCAGCCCTTGCCACCCCTCCCCTGGCCTTCACTGCTCTGTTGTCTGTGCCCATGGGCTAAGTATATTTATATTCTTTGGCTGCTCTCTTCACTTTCTTTGAGAGTCTGCCATATTTTAGATCCTGCTCCAGGCTGTACCACTGTTTATTTCTCTGACTTGTGTGGCATTCTTTTCCAGTTCCCACATGTGGCCCATGTGAAGTGGCTCGCCTCCACCAGAACGCAGACCAGTGCTGCCCGGAGTATGAATGTGGTATGTGTCCCACCTTTGGCATTCTCCAGGGCTCAGGCCCCATCCCCAGGTGAATGATGTGGACGCTGCAAGAGACATATGGTCTCAGGCACAGAGTGTGAGAAAGGAGGTGGGCAAGGGCTGACTGGATTTTCCAAATAATGGAAAGAGTAACCTCTAGAAAATAGGATTTGCTGCCTAGAGAAATTCTGCAGTAAATCATTAAATGTCAGATTTGAAAGCATTAAATAAGGAATGGGGTAATCACTGGTGGGGGGAAGTGCTCAGAAATGGACTGAAGAGAAAGTTAGGCCAAAGTAGCTCATTTTCCTTTTCCTTTCTGAGGACCTTAGATGTGGAGAAGGCCACATACAGGGCACCTTGATTTCAGCAAGTTATTTGTCAAAGGGTTTCATTATTGGCTTGCGAACTGCATAGTGAATAATAGGCTGAATAATGCTATAAGTAAATGAATCCAGAGCTGATGGAATTAGGTTTAACATGACAGGAAACCTCTGATGACCCGTCCCTGTCTGGTCTAGTGTGTTTGTTAATTATAAAATTTGCAGTGAGGCAGATCTTACAGGGCGAGCAAATAAATCAAGGGGCAGTGCAAGGATCTACAAAAGAATGAAATAATATAAGAATTTTATTTATGCTGATGAAATTGATCAGGGACACATAGAAGTCCTGTGGGCAGGGAGATCTGACTTGAGAACAGCTTGTGTAAAATAGATCTGAGAATGTTAACAGTAGACAGAACTGAGGGGATCATTCAGTTCAAGCCCCTCATTTTGTAGACCTTTTAGGCTTCTACAATGTGCCAGGCATGCTGCCTTCATTATTTCATGACATCCTTAGACTGACTCTATGAGTTAGAGTTCCCACTTTGCAGAAGATGAAATGGAGGTCTAGAGGGTTCAAGTGACTTGGCTGTGATCTGAAAGTCCTAGCAGATGACAGCATAATTAATATGAGCTTATCAGATTATCTGGATCTATCTATCTATCTATCTATCTATCTATCTATCTATCTATCATCAATCAATCTACATACCTACCTATCAACCTATGATCTATCTCCCCCCTCCACCTCTACCTCTATCTGTATCTCTACCTTTATCTCATAATCACCATCTACCTAACAGAAATCTACATGAATAGGATTATAGGGTGCCACTCACAGGTAATACAAGAATAACCTTGCTAAACTCTGAGTGGATGTCTTTTTTTTCTGTCCTTTAGTGTGTGACCTGGTGAGCTGTGACCTGCCCCCAGTGCCTCACTGTGAAGGTGGCCTCCAGCCAACATTGACCAATCCCGGCGAGTGCAGACCCAACTTCACCTGCGGTAAAGCCTCCATGGAGAGGAGGTGGTGGTGCGGCCACTCTCTCCTGGCCTGTATTCCAGTTAGCTGACTCTAGTGGGGTTGGGGATGTCTAGGACAGAGGGATCAAGGTCACCCCTGGATTGAATCCTCTAAGATTCTTCCCAGCTGCATGATGCTGAAGGTGTCCTGGGAGTGGGCACAGCCACAGGCATGTCCCTGTTGGGCTGTATTATGAGGCAATTGGGTCTGAGATGAAGAAGTCTCCAGACCTAATCTTTATTTACTCCCATCTTCCCACACATCATTGAGGGGAGGAAAAGTTTCTTTGGTTTGTCCTCATTACTGGATCTTATTCCCAAACAGATGTACAGTTTTCTCCCCTTTGTATGTTTATATATCTAATCGCTAAATACTATAATTTAAGCATAGGGTTGTACTAAAGTAAGATGTGTCAAGAAACTGAGTTCTGTATTTAGATACTGAGAATACCCACTTTAAGTCAAGTAGAGTTATTGTCCTGTTGATTTAGAATCTCTCTTGAGTTCCTAGATGTAAGACCTTGAGGGCGAGAGGACACCTTGTATTTTAAGGAGGCTGTGAATAGGCAAAGGAGACAGGATGGGATTTGACATTTATAAAACACTGTGGGTTTGACTGATTGCTGTCATTCTTTCATTCAACCTTCTTAGAGGACCTGAAACTATAGGGTATTGTTCTAGGTACTGAGGTGGGGATAGGATCACATAAGCTGCCAGCATATAAAAATGCTTACCAGCTCATGGCGTCCAAGGCCTATCTGGGTCTTAGGGATTCTACCTCCACCTTCTCTGAGAATCAATAGCTGGAAGGAACCTACCCCATCTAGATGTGCATGGGTACTGAACAGTCTTCGCTTCTTCTCCATTAAAATTCCTAGTTTCACATTTCTCCTTTTGATTGATGTTCATATTTTCTGAAGACTAACTTCTTTTGGGGATGATTGAATAACCCACAGCCCCTGAATTGGACTTATGTGCATTTCTAACTTAATCCTCTGGGCCTAGAATCCCCTGGGTTCTTATTTAATAGCTGAATACTTACAAACCCTGATTGATTTCAATGCCCAGTGTGGCAGGACTAGGGTGTCACCTTCCTGCTTCTCAGCCTGCAGGAAGGAGGAGTGCAGAAGGGAGTCCCCACCCTCATGTCCCCCACACCGGACACCGACCCTTCGGAAGACCCAGTGCTGTGATGAGTATGAGTGTGCTTGTAACTGTGTCAACTCTACGGTGACCTGCCCTCTGGGGTACTTGTCCTCGGCCATCACCAATGACTGTGGCTGCACCACAATCACCTGCCTTCCTGACAAGGTAGGGGCTGCTCAGCTGTGGCTGGGATGATGGCAAACATCTGCTTCTTATGGAAGATTTGCCTTCCTGCCCAAACCAAGTGCTATATGGCTGGTGGGTGAGCAGTCAACATTCTATCTCATCCTAGTGGAAATTTAGTTAGCTCAGGAGGTATTTATAGAGAACCTACTGTGGCTAGTGCTGAGATTACAAACAAGGTATAAGACATGGTCTGGCCTTAAAAGAGATTTCCTTAGGTTAGCTAAGGAAATAATAGGGAGGCATGGATTATTTACAGATGAGTTAATAGTTGACACATTTGTTAATTGCTATCAATTCATCCATCTATCCTTCCTTCCTTCCTTCCTTCCTTCCTTCCTTCCTTCCTTCCTTCCTTCCTTCCTTCCTTCCAATAATTACTGAGCAACTACTATGTTCTACCAGAACTGGTATTGTATTAGGTGTTATGGGAGAAATGTAAGATGTAGTCAACTTATGGTCTTGCTAGTATATATAAGACAATAGTCTATAAACTGAATACAACAAAGTATCAACAGATGGTATAGATACTAAATGCACATAGCAGTCATAGGGAAGAGGTCCACCAAGAAGAGTTATCATGAAAGATAATTAATTGGCAGAACTTGAGATGAACCATTAATTACAGTAGGAAGATCTGAGAAGATTTTCAGCTGCTGAACTATTGAGGGTGAGTCCTGCAATGAATGCCAAAGAGAAGTCACAGTTACCTTTCCCTGGAGTCTATTAGGGCTAGAGCACACACTCATTTGCCTGGAATGCTCTAGACCTCTGGTCCCTTCTGGGTTCTCTTCCAGCTCAAGATTTCTAAGAGCCTAGGTTCTGGAGGAGCAGGAGCAGGTCCAGATTTCATGCTTATTAAAATCTACTTTATAAGTATCCCTGCATGTGGGTAGAGACCATGTTGGTTTTATTTATTGCTGTATTCTCAGAGCAACCTAGAGCAACTTCCAACATATAGTAGATACTTTCTAAACTCTTGTTTAAATGAACTGAATGAGTTCACTCACAGAAACCTTGTGTCTACAGGTGTGTGTCCACCGAGGCACTGTCTACCCTATTGGACAGCTCTGGGAGGAGGGCTGTGATATATGCACCTGCACTGACATGGAGGATGCTGTGATGGGTCTGCGTGTGGCTCAGTGCTCTCAGAAGCCCTGTGAAGAAAGCTGCCAGTTGGTAAGATGCGCAGAGAGACTAGGCACTGTGTGGAACACTCAGGGTATGGAAGTAGGGGAGGGCATCCCAGGAAGAGGCAAAAAGCCCCTTTAGTAAACTCTCATTCAAGACCAGGATGATGGGGGAGGGGAGGTGAACTGGGGAAAAGAAAGAAGCATCAAGAAAGGATTGCAATATCATCCTTCTGTGATTCAGGTAATCCTTGCCTAATGGACATGTATGTTGTATGGTCTTGAGTCCAGAGGGTGATAGAGTTGGTTTGAGTAAATCCAGAAATAGGTAGTCCATTCAGCTCATCTGCTGCGCTACCTGCATGATGTACTGAGGAGAAGCAGAGCTGCTAGGCAACTTTGAGAGAGGATGATGCTTTGGTATCCAGGTGTGTCTTATGGGAATGCTAAGTTTTAGAAACGTATTGGTCTCCCTCTCCTCCCATAGGCCATGGAGGCTAACAGAATAACTTGCTATCAAGTAAAGAGGGTACTATTTAGAGGCCATTTTAATAAAATTGGCACCCAATATATTTTGTGTTTCAGTAGGGAGTTTTGGTTGCAAAGAACAGAATCTACTCAAGTTAGCCAAAATAAAACTCTCAGGAATGAAGTACAGGATATATAAATTGGCATACAACATTTCTCTCCCATATCCCATGAGCCCAACCCCTGTCTCTGCTCCTCTCTGCCCATCTGCTCCAGTTCTTCATTGCAGGTCAACTTTCTCTGGGAAGAAGTTTTGCTTTCTCATAAATTTTATTTGCACATGGCTTTATTGCATCTGGCTTCAACTCAACATGACTTTTCAGGTCCAGGGTCATCCCTGTCCAGTGTGACTTGCTCAGTCTTTGTGTTCAATAGATTGACTTTTCAAGGAGAAAATTTATGGACTTAGCTTATCCCATGGATTAGATCCTCTGTCCAGTCCCCAGTCTAGTCCAGTCAGCTGTTGGGGAGGGTGCAGGTTATATGGTAGAAACTTGTCTATCTAGAGCAGTGGTTCTCAACCTTCTGGCCCTTTAAATACAGTTCCTCATGTTGTGACCCCACCATAAAATTATTTTTGTTGCTACTTCATAACTGTAATGTTACTACTGTTATGAATCATAATGTAAATATCTGATATGCAGGATGGTCTTAGGCGACCCCTGTGAAAGGGTTGTTCGACCACCAAAGGGGTCGCGACCCACAGGTTGAGAACCGCTGATCTAGAGGCTGTGGTGCTGGAGGCAATTTCAAAAAGAAAATGGGTACAGAGGTCAGGTGAATGAGTGGAGGAGGCAACATTTCTAGAACTCTTGAACAGATGATTGCTGTAGAGAATTGAGTGACTTGTCTTAAAGACTGAATGTTCACACCCTCTAGGGAGGAGAAGGAGGTCTATGTTAAAGCTGAAGGCATGTGGGAGGCTGGGCTTTGATCTGTACAATGTCTTGAGTTGAGTGAATTGATCTGTACAATGTCTTGAGCTTCAGTGAATTGTGATGGTTTCAGACTTCATTCTTCAAAGAGGGAGGTATCGGCTCTGGTCTGACTCCAGAGACATTTGGGCTCACTTACCTGAGTTCATTTGTTGTCTAGGTTGTGACAAAAACAAAACAAAAACAAACAAAGAAACATTACCCTCTGATTCTTTCTTTCTGAAGCCACAGTCTGGAGAACTATACTTTCCTCAACCACCTCCATAGTTCTCTACTGTTCATGTCAGAAAAATTATGTAGAGCAAGCAAAGAGTAAGGCTGGCTTCCCAAAGAATATTACAGGTATGCCTACATGCCTATGGCCTTGCTTCCATGTTAATGGCAAGAGGAATTTCCCCTCTGCCGTATAAACTTTAGAGAAGATTTTCTTCGAAGGCTTATGACCACCTGATTCCCCAATTTCAGACTCCAGAATCAGACTAAATCATGGCATTAGGAACTGTGTCCGAGGAATTGAATGTAATGCATTATATTTTATTCATCCTCATGATACTCCTCCAGAAGGAAGAAGAGGCAAGGCTGTTCTTCCCACTTATCAGATAGAAAGCAGAGCACTAGCACAGGGAACAAGGTTGGCCATAGATCTACAGCTCATTTAAAGCCAGTAGAACTGGGTTGTCTTGACTCCTAGTCCAGGGCCCCTTCTGTGAGGCTGATACACTGGCAATACCAGCATTTTAAGGGCCAGCCTGATTCAGCAGAGACAAGGGACCAATGCTCCATGCCTCTCACCATCATTTCAGCAATGTTAACCGTGTTTAAAGGATTGTGCTGCTAAATATATTAGGAGTCTATTTTTCATTGGCATCTGTCTTTAGATTGGCTAGATATTAGACCTGCTTATTTCCATTCTTAATTGGGAAACCAAGGAAACAGGATTGAGAAGAGAGTAAGGAGAAGGGTCGAGATATATATTTTGAACAGATATAAGGTAGAGGATTTAGAGGGGTATGGAGAAAGAAAGAGAGATGAGAATATTGGATGAACCATGGTTGTGCAGCAGGAAAATGGGAATGCCGGAGGTGGAGGGGGATCTCAAAAAGATGGCAGCCAGGAAATTTGGAGACATGACTAGGAGAACCTGAGCATGAGAAGTTGGTGGGGTTTTGGGAGCAAGGCATCTGTCCTGGTAGTCATTCATAGTATTGACAGTGTGTCCTCCCATATTGGGAGGCAGCAGAAAACAGGAAGAACACACCAATCCAGGTCACTTGGCACTCTTAGAGAGGCGCATAAGAGTGATGCTGGGTCCCTGAAGGTATTGATGATTCTTTTGTGCTCCATGAGTCTTTTATGGCAGCTTGTATATTCTGCCTTGTAGTGGAGGGTGTCTAGATTGTATCATTCTAATTTGTTGGCTTCTCCAAAGTACCTAGTACATCATAGATGCATAATAAATTTTTAGAATCTCAGATGATAAAACACTGGGGACAACTCACTGGGCACCTCTGTGACGTGGGTCAGGATGTAAGTGGACCCCATGGAGATGGTATGATGTTGAGCCAAGTCTCTGGAGTGCTTGTGTACCCCCAGAGAGAGGCACCAGCTAGCCTGACACCAAGTGCTGTGTGCATCTTCTGGCTTGGTCCTGCGTGTGAGTGTGCGAAGCAGGCCTGGCCTCCTCACTCATCCTGAACAGCTGCAAGCATTCCTTCTCTTTTAAGGACAGAGCTTCAAGATAAAGCCCAGTCCTGAGGTCTGTCCCCTGGGCTCCTGAGATACCACACATGTCAGTGTTTTGCCTATTCTTTGTACATTGCTTCAGAGTTTTCAGTGGACAGTTTCAATCCAAATTCCCAAAGCTTTGGCCAGATTAGAAGACCATTAAGAGGCAAGGTGAGCTAGTAAACTCCCAGGATGCTGGTCTCCCTGGAAGGCATTCTAGGGAATGTTGGTCTCTGCTGCTCTTATCTCACTGTGCCCTATAAACTATATCAAGTAACTACTTGGGGCAACCCAACTCTGCACATTGGTGAGAGGTCTTGGGACCAAGGTATTCATCTTATGTAGGTACTTTGCCCTATTAGAGCAGAGACTAGTTCTCAAGCATCTTGGATATTCTCCCCCAGTCAATGAAGTGCCCTAGATTTGGTCATGATAAAGATCAGGTCAGGTAGCTGTTGCTGAGTGAACTCTGGGCTGTGTTTAATACTTTTCATGAACTGGATGTTGGTCTCAAAGTGGAAGCTTTAAGAGGGCAGGATTATGCCTTTTCAGCTGGTGAAACTGAGTCACTATCTTAGTGACCCAATGGTTGATGTCTCCTAGCCACTTCTTAGCATAGTTCTGAGGCTGGTGGATGACAGAGATGAAACCGTTCAGGCCAGCGGTGTCTCTGTAAAACCCCAGGGCTCAGTACACCTGTGGAGCAGATAAGCACACTCATGTCTCTGCTGCTGGCCTGACCTCACTCTCTGCTCCTTGTGTTTTTTCCAGGGCTTCACTTATGTCCTACATGAAGGCGAATGCTGTGGAAGGTGCCTGCCATCTGCCTGTGAGGTGGTGATTGGCTCACCACGGGGGGACTCCCAGTCGTACTGGAAGGATGTAGGTTGGGGCCTCAGGATGGGTTGTCTATTCTGTGGTTTAGTGCTGGCCTTGGTTCACTTATAAAATCAGAGCTCATCCCTGCCCTTTGCTTTCCTTGCAGGAGGTTAATTAGCTGCTGGTGTTACCCAGTCGTCAACTGGGTTGCCTTGCCCCTTAGGAACAGTTAAGATGGCCTCAGGCTTCCCATTTCATTGATTTGGGGAGAAGCTCAATTCCCTCTCTAAGAGTTCTGTGAATGCCTAGGGAATTTATGTCAGTGAATCTGAGGTCCTGCTTCCCCTGAGTGGTTGGTATAGGGATGGCCTCACCACCCTGCATGTGCCATGGGCCTGCCACCCCACCAAATCCACAGGCTGAGGTGCTATTCAGTCCTACACCAACCCTGACAGGCTCCTCCGACTTCTTCATGAGTTCCATTGTACACATTTCTATCACAGAGAAGCAAACACTATTCTGTTCCCTAAGTCCCCGAGCTATTTCTGTAACCCTGGCTGTAGCGCAAGTTTGACATGCTTGCTATAGTGTATTGCAATGTTGGGCTTTACCTGGTGGATGGGACTGAGATGTTAACCCAGGGCATGATTCTAGGGCCCAGACCAGTTCCCTGAGGGAACAGTGCACTCCCCTTGGGACTCTGTGTTCTAACTACAGGTTGGCTCTCACTGGGCCTCCCCGGAGAACCCCTGCCTCATCAATGAGTGTGTCCGAGTGAAGGAGGAGGTCTTTGTGCAACAGAGGAACGTCTCCTGCCCCCAGCTGGATGTCCCCACCTGCCCCGTGGGCTTCCAGCTGAGCTGTGCGAGCTCAGAGTGCTGCCCCACCTGCCACTGCGGTAAGGCACCCTGTCCAGGGACCCACCTTCCGGCCTGGGTTTCCAGGAAGGGCTCCTGAATTCTTTGCTTTCTTAGCAACTCGGGGAAATGGGCAGGATCAAAATCTTCCCATCTGTTCCTAATGCTTTTGTGACAAAGCAAATAAGATGAGAGAAATAGAACCATTTCCTGAAGGTCATAATGGTGCTCAGTGATGGCTTATACCACTATCTCATGTCAGGGGCACGGCAGCCCTGGTTGGTGGGGACTGCTACTGCTTCCACCAGCGCACGGGAGTTAGTGAGCTGTAGGGCTGGGGTTGGACCTTCATTTCTCTGACTCTAGAAACCACCTTTGTGATTATTCATGGTATTGCCTCTGCTAGGGAAGGTATTCCAATGTCCACCCCCTCCCTCCCTACAAACAAACAGCAACAGGAACAAACAGCTCGCTACCACCTGCTCTGAATTCTTTGTATGATTTTATCTTGTGACTTAAAGTTCCCAGAGTAGAATTGCATTCTTCATAAATCCAAAGATTCTCCCACTCACCCCTTCCATGTGAATCACTGAAACATGTGCCTTCCCTACCAGGACGCTCAGGGGTCTTCTCATTGAGGGCTAGGTGCTGGGCAACAGGCAGCCTGCCCCTCCTCGCCAGACCTGGGGGAAGCGAGGCCACTATGGCTCTGGCAGTAGGACCCACAGTGCCTGGAGGTGGAATGCAGCAAAGGGCAGATGTAGGAGAGAGGCCCAGATGGAGGAGAAAGCCCTGAAGGGATCAGCTGTGTGCAGGGCAGGGGTGGCCAGGGTATTCTGTACTCTCACGCCTGCACTTCTCTCTCCCCAGAGCCTGTGCAGGCCTGCATGCTCAATGGCACCATCATTGGGGTGAGCTATTGCCTTCTTCTCCAGGGCCAGTTGGTGGGGCAGAAATGGGGGTGCTGTGGAAAGGATGGGCCACTTAGTCATTCTAATGTGGAAATGAGAGAAACTGGGAGACCTACCCCCAATGCACTCTCATTGCCTCCAGGGCTTCCCAGCATCCTGGAGCCTGGCCTCAGAGGTCTTCCTAACTCTCTAGGGTCCGGGCACCCCGTCTGACACTCATCTCCCAGCCCCACTCCAGGCCCATGAGCATTTCTAATGCGTACAGAGAAGTGCTCTGCAGTCGTTGTGCACATTTCAACCTATCCCCCACTCCCACTGCCCGGCCCCCTTTCTGGCATGAAAGCCCTCACTCTTACCATTGCCACACTTGAGGTGGGAAGGCAGGGAAGGGAGTGGGCCACTGGAGACAGCAAGAGGGTCAGGGTGATGGCTCAGGGCAGCTATGGGAGGCTCCCCCCATAAGGAAACAGTTTATGGGGCTGAGGTGAGAGGGGAAGTCAGGGGTTTGGGGTGCTGGGAGGCCTGACCATGGTGACTCTGGTTCCAGCCTGGGAAGACTATGATGATTGACGTGTGCACGACTTGCCACTGCACCGCCCAGGTGGGGATCATCTCCGGATTCAAGCTGGAGTGCAGCAAGACCACCTGTACGGCCTGCCCCGAGGTGAGAGGGTCATTGAGGACCTAGGGGGTGGGCTGAATACTCGTGGGCCCAAGCCATGGGACCTCACTGGGGTTTTAAAATAAATTTTCCTTATTTTCTGATTGTGGACAATATTTGACACCTGTTATGGAGAGCCCAAGTCACCCACCCACCCACCCACCCACCCACATTTCACCTCTCAGAAATTACAGTTTAGTTTTGTGCATTTTAAACACTTTCTTTTTGTGTGTTTAAAATAAACACAATATTTGCAAGGGTTGTGATGCCATATTTACAGTTCTGTATTTTTTTTTACACATTTAAAAAACCATCATTACCATTTTTGAGAACACTAAAGATTAATTAGTCAGCAAATATTTATCAGACACCTACTATGTGCAAGTTTATGCACAATCTTCTTTGGAAAAGATGTGCCACAACCTTCACTTTTATTATTGGACATTGAGGTGGTTTAAAATATTTCACCCTGGTTGCGCTAGGTCACAATGACTGTGTACTCTCAATCCCTCCTGAGGGTGGATTCTGAGTAAAAGCATCATTTCTGGTTTGGGAGATGACAACCAGCATTTTATTGTTTTCATTATGACTCTTAGCCCCACGTCACAGAGCTGGACCTAACGCTCAGGAGGATGCTTCGGCTTCTTCCTCAAACCGCCCGCTGTGCCTGGGGTCCTGCTGTTTTAGAGACCACACGTGGTCAGGGGAGTTTCTTGGGAGCCAGATGCAGGGAACACGGTAACAGCTCTTTCAGATAGTGCACAGGGAGGGCTTCTCTCTTCAACTTTGCAAGGCAGTAGGAGGGGTCTGGGGCCGAGTCTGGGGAGGAGACCTTTGTAGGAGGAGACCTCCCTGAGAGGAGCAGCACAGAGGGGTAGGGGACATCAGGAGTGGTTAGGGATGAGGGACACTCATACGGTTGCTTTATATGCTCTCGAGGACAAGAGAGTGTTCTGCATCTGTGTTCTTCATGGCACTTGGCATAGTGTCATACTCAGAATAGGGGCTTAATAAATTTATGTGGAGTAGACACAGCTATTTTTGATAGAATGGTTTAAAGAGGACATTCCTGCCTCAATTAGAAGCCCACTAAGAGTGGGAGAGCGGGTTTTTACTATTAAAAAAAGCATAGTTGATGTTTTAGGGATGTGTGTGTAACAACCCCCTAGAATAGAACTGGGCTTGAATACGAATGAAAGACTGATGTCTGGAGTTTGTGGCTTCCCTTTTACCTTGGATGTCCATTGAACTACCTACCATCAATGCAGCAAGAGATCCACACCAAGGCTGTCCTCAGGTTTTCTGGAGGGCGAGCTTGTGAACTCTCAAACTGCGCCCTCTGGTGGTCAGAAGATAGCATGGTACCCTCCTCTGCATTCAAATCCAATCTAGATAGAGGTTCTAAATCAGCGGTTCTCAACCTGTGGGTCGAGACCCCTTTGGGGGTCAAACGACCCTTTCACAGGGGTCGCCTAAGACCATCGGAAAACACAGATATACTTACATATTGTTCTTGTGATTAATCACTATGCTTTAATTATGTTCAATTTGTAACAATGAAAATTGGGGGTCACCACAATATGAGGGAACTGTAATTAAAAGGGTTGCAGCATTAGGAAAGGTTGAGAAAGCACTGTTCTAAATACATATTTTTAAAATGCCCGACCCCCTTTGGTTTGTGTACTATTCCTCCCTTCCTTCCAATATTCTGATATATGTCCAGGGCAGTATACTGACCTCCCTCCCCTCTTGAAACCCCTAGGTTAGCCCTCATTCTATGTATCTCTTAACCTGCACCAAAACTGGCCTCAGTTGCCCCCATTCTAGCTCAGCATCCTTCACTGTTTTTATTGCCCTTCTCTGCAATGGAAGGCCTCAGGGAGGCCTCCTGCAGGTGGGGGAGCTATGGTGAATTAGGCTGAGGCAGTTCTGCTTGAACTGCCTACATCAGACTAAAGTGTTAGTGTCAGCAGAGAAGTGAGTCCTTCATTTCCTCCCAGGGGAGACAGTGTTTGCATTGAAAAGACCAGCAGAAGGTGGTTTGTGCTGGTGGGTGGTAGGCAGGAAGCTTGACTGATGAACTTTCAGGGAAAGTGTGAGGAAGAGAGGTCACCCTGACATGGAACACCGAAAATGCATCCGGAGGGGCATGACCGTGAGCTGACCTTGAGCAAGGGATCGAATGTGGAATAGAGGACCCTCCAGGAAGCAGAATGGGGAACAGATGGGCAGAAGCAGGAGTTAGAAATGGACAGCAGGGCTCCCACAAGCCCTGCCACCTGGTGCAGCTGCATTCGGCTTCCAGGGCAGCAGACAAACCAGTTTACTCCCTCAAGTGGGTTCTGCTATACCCCCTCTCCTCCTCCTGTCCCTCTTGCCCAACTCCACACCCCAGCTCTAAAATCACTCCCCCCTCCTCTTACCCTGCATTCTTTCTGCCTCTTCCTCCTGTTCTCTCTTCTCCCATTACACCCTTTCTTTCCCCTTATTCCTGGCTGAACTGTGCCCTCTGCCTCTCTGTGTGTGGATTTTGCCCTCATGGTCCCTGTCCCCTTCACTTTGCAGCCACCCTCCTCCTTTGTCCTCACCCCCTCACTTCTGTGAAGATTTTATCCAATTACCTCTCCCTGGGCCTGACTTACCAGAGGGTATTTCCTATTTCTTCTCCTAACGTCCACTGTAAGACGCCCAGATCCAAGCTCCGGCGATATCCTGCCCGACTTAAGCCCCATTTAGTAGTGACCACGTAGATGCTCCTCCAGTGGGCGCTCCTCCTTCTGGCTGGAACCACTCCCATGTGCTCATAATGTTTGTTCCAACTCTTTCTTCCTCTTCCATTTACTTCGTCCCTACACCTTCCCGGAAGAGTGCATTTTTGAAAACACAGTTTAAAGCTCACCAGTGAAAGACAACCTGAGGGCCTCCAACCCCCACAGTGACCTTCCCAGGGGAGTGTGTGGCCTGGCCCAATTGCCCTGATTTGTTCTGAGTTCCGTCCTCCCCAGCTTTCTCGCTGGCCTATTCCCTGGGGATACATCGAGTGCAGAAGCTTGACTCAGGAGTAGCAAATTGTTTAAGTGAGCTTGCCCATTCTTAACTCTTCCTGCTGGTTCAGAGCATTAGCCCTTGTGCAGTGAAAAGGGAGTGGTGTGGAGGGACTAAGTCTTCTGTTTGGGGCTCCAAATTGATCTGCTAGAGATTCATGTTAGAGAAACCCCAGGGCCCCAGTGGAAGGATATCTAAGTGATCACTACTAAGGGTGGCGAAATAAGAAAATAATGACAACATAGATGGCTTCCCACTTAACTAAATTTATTCTTTAAAAAAATTGAGATTGTTCCTTTTTTTTTTTTGAGTGGTGGGGTGAGTTAAAAGAGCTTCAATTTGAAGACAATGATGAGACAGCTGAGGGTAGCTTTTTATTTTATTAACTTTGTTTAAAATACTCTTACTTTGCAAAATAAAAAGTTGGTTATCCTATGTTGTCTTCCAAATTTGGGGGCATTTTTTGCCAGATAGTGAAATCAAGTTGTCCAGAAGCTGCTGCTTTTTCCAAAGCAGATATACATGAAGGCCTCTCACTTTAAGCCTCTATCAAGGTTCTTGCTCAACTCATTGCAAAATAATAATTTATCTCTTATGTAGAAGTGAACCATGTGACAACCATAGGACATAGTATGGGTAAAAGAGTACCTATATGAGATGGTATATTATTCAATCAAGTTACTTCTATACAAGAGATAAATTGTTATTATTTTGTGTTAAACAGTAAATTGTCTTTTACGGAGTTTAAGAAAATAACTAAAAATGGTATTTTGTATTTACCTACATATTTATGATATAGGAGTGACTGCTAAGAGTCAGGTGCTGGGAGACCAGGATGAACAGCGTAGACATAGTTTGAAATTTGCATGCCTCTCATAGAGAACAAAATATTAAACAAATGGTAATTTCAAATTGTGTTAAGTGTTATAAAGTGTGTGTATGTGTGTGTGTGTGTGTGTGTGTATTTTGTATTTTTGGAGACTTCTCTGAGAAACGATACTTAAAATGATTACTAAGGGATGAGAAAAGGCTACTTATTTATTTATTTTAATATATATATTTTTATTGATTTCAGAGAGGAAGGGAGAGGGAGAGGGAGATAGAAACATCAATGATGAGAGAGAATCATTGATCAGCTGCCTCCTGCATGCCCCACACTGGGGATTGAGCCTGCAACCCAGGTATGTGCTCTTGGCCAGAATGGAACCTGGGACCCTTAAGCCCACAGACCGACACTCTATCCACTGAGCAAAACCAGCCAGAGAGAGAAAAGGCTCTTTATACAAAGTGTGGGGAAGAGCACTCCAGGCAGAGAAAACATCATCCACAAAGGCCCTCAAGTGAGAAGGAGGTGGCCATGTTCATGGACCAAGAAGATGCACAGGGTTGGATTGTCAAGAGCAAGGGAATGGTGGTATAAGATAAGGTCAGAAAATTAGGAAAGGCTGATGTCAGGCCTTATAGGACATGCTAAGGAGATTAGATTTTATTATAAACTAGAGGCCCGGTGCACAAAAATTTGTGCACTGGGGGGGGCAGGGGGGTCCCCCAGCCCGGCCTGTGCCCTCTCACAGTCTGGGACCCCTCGGGAGATAACGACCTGCTGGCTTAGGCCTGCTCCCGGGTGGCAGAGGGCACACCCAATCCCTAGGTGCAGCCTCTGGTCAGGCTCAGAGCAGGGCCGATTGGGGAGTTGGGGCGCCGCCCCCTGTCATGCACAGAGCAGGGCGGATCGGGAGGTTGCGATGCCACCCTCAGTCACGCTCAGGGTAGGGCCGATTGGGGGGTTGGGGCACCGCCCCCTGTCACACTCAAGGCAGGGTCGATGGGGAGGTTGCGGTGCCACCCCCTGTCATGCACAGAGCAGGGCCGATCAGGGGTTGGGCACTGCCCCCTGTCACGCACAGAGCAGGGCCGATCAGGGGGTTGGGCGCTGCCCCCTGTCACGCACAGAGCAG